TTTTAACTATTTTGCCTGACATGTTTACTTTTAAAATATTTTGCAAATGTTTCTCAAAATAAAATGTATTGTGTTCAAAGGAGAAAAGGCTTTTGTTTTTTTTACCCAGACTTTTAAAAAGAATATGTTTTACAGCAGTAACAACGATAATACCATCAAAACGTGATATTTTTATCCAAGGTTATCATACCGTCAGAATCTTACACTGTACCAGCCCATATGCCTACAGCGGAATTAGTTGTAACAGGGTGTTACAAACAAGCCACACACTGTTGGACACCAATTAAACTAACAAAATCATTTTTGAACTTTAAGTGTAACGTTGAAAACTTTTTATATTAAAAAATGTTTTTTTAATAGAAAAAAACTTTGTATTGCTAATAATGCAAATAAATGCATTGTATAATAGCGAATAATAATGCAAATAAATCAAAATGTGTTTATCCAGTATATAAAGAAATAAACATGAGTCAAGTAAAACATAAGTCATTTAAAAAAAACATAAAATTGAGTTTAGTACTGAGGAAATATACAATGTAAAGTAAACAATTTAAATGAATTGTGTGAAATTTGACTTTTTAAGCATGTGCTACAACCAACTCTCTGTCTATTACAACTTACCCCGCAGGTGGGGTAAATAATGAAATTTTTTACTCCTGGCACTTTTGACACTACTGCACAGAAACTAAAGGCAATCATACAACCAATGCTCTTTTGTAGGAGAGGCTTGTGTGTTGTTGGTAAAAAAAAATAAAATTAATAAAAAATAAGAACTGTGTGTCTAACTTCATTACTTTGTTCATTATTTGGCCAAAACTAAAGTGTTACTTTGTGCCCCGCTCCCCCTACTCCACAAATAATTTGAACATCTTCAAACTCTATATGGTCAAAAAGCTAATTTTATTGAATCACAAGACAGATGTATTTCTTAATTATAATTAATTAGGGAATTAAAACACTTTCCTAATTAAAAATTGAACTAGCAGCAGAGGACATGTGTATTGTGCAAAGTCTGTATTACGCAACAAAAACAAAAGCTCAAAGAGATATAATTGCAGTAAAAGGCTTCTCTTTGCACGTAACTCACTAGATCAACAAGTATTCAGCCTAAAATAGCCTCAGGGCTAAGAAAAACATTTCACGATCACTCATAAAAATAAAATATCATGTTTAATAACAAGTTGCAAATTCCAGCATAAAAACTGCATTACTGTTTCACTGTTTTTGAAATGAAATTATGACTTGACCTTTTTATGCATTAAAATAAACGTGCACTTATTTCTAAAATATCATTGATGGGAATGTCAAAAGGACGTATTCAACGTCAACAAAAACACAAATAAAGTGGAGTATTTGCCTAAAGTAGAACCAAAACATGAGCAAAAATAACTATATAAACTAAGTAGCGATGCAAATTATAAATCTAAATTTTTTTTAAAAAAAGTTAGAAGTCCCACCAACCAAACAGCAGATTCGGTTAACGTTCAGAATGCACCGAGTGACCATTTTAAAGAGATTTCTAACAGCAACACAGCTGTGCGGCACAGCCTGACACGAGATGTATTCTTGACTCTCATATTAAAGAGAACAGAGCATTGACTGAAGCCCATGCAAAATTCATTACTGCCCAAAACGAGTCTCCATGGCACAAACTGGCAGTGTTACTCGGATTTTCTATGTACGACGTAAAAGGTTCCAGTGCAGCCTCAATCTGTCCATAAAGTCGAAGAGAAAACACAAGCATTTAACAGCAACAAGCATCCCGCTTTGCTTTTGTCCCAGCTGCTCTGAAACTCACGCTTACGCTCTCAAACACTTTGACCATCTTACTGCATATTAAAACAGCAGGAAAGCGCTGGGTTATGAATGTTTACAAGTATTTACATCATGTAAACCTTTGCTGGATGTGAACATGAAAATCTCAGACTATTCGAAACTTCAACTAAACTGCAAAACTCAACTCCACCGCGGCTCCAACAGTCTATTCGGCGGTTAAAACGTACTTTTGTCAAAACAACATGCATTTGACAGAGTTAAAGTATACTGTTTAAAAACTATACTCGTGTATTTGTAGGCTAAAGGGGGTTTAAGCAAAGCACGTTGATAAGTGGGTGCTCTGATTTTCCTCGGAACGAGGTTAGCGCGGCTAGCCGTAGCATTTCTTCAGTTCAGAAGAGGCAAAGGCGCTTCTTTTCAGGAAAAAAAAAAACACATGACTCACCGATACAGTTTCCTTTGATACGGCTATCCGTAAAAAGATCCTCAAATGTTTATTAAGTTAAAAAAATGAGAAGCGAACTCAAACTCTCGTTGACAGCATCACTCTCTGAGCCGCCATCTTCACTCGGCTATGATGCTGCTGTTGGCTCGAAACGCTCTACCTACCGAAAACTCTGGAACGAACCAATTCAGGCCATCGAATGGGGGGGAATAGCCGGCAAATCAGAATTTTCACATGCGATTATCAGAAAGTACTGCAAAATGTGATTCTTTAGCTCGACGTGTTGATGTGTTTTAAAGAAAATTTTGGAGTTTTTTTAACAAAATATACTGACTGACACGCTTAAAGAAATAATTGTGTTGAATTTAGCCCCTGCAGGGCGGTCAAATTTCAAAGACTTGTTTCCAACAGAGCTCACCTCTCTCGAGCAGAATTTTTCAGGTAGGGGCCCGAACAAGAACCAGTGTATTCTTTCTTATCATATAAAATATTCACACGCTTGTTTTATTAAATCGCATGATTCATCTACATACTTTAAAGTGCTTTGGGGACACGGTTTACAATATGTTTAAACAAGTATAGTTTACCATTAACAAATTAGTTTGTTTTTTTAGCACAGAAATAACTGCTTGATTGAATAAAAAAAAGCGTTGAAAAGTCAGTCCGTGTATAAAGATAGCAGGAATCTCCCAATAGACCACAACAACCATAGTGGTTTCCATGTTTAACCTCCTAGCGCCCCCAGGCGATGGAAACACCCTCAGTGCAATGTTGATTCACTCCAAGCTGTGGTTGTTTTTAGAAGGTGCATTCCAGATACTCAGTAACACACCGTAAACACTACCGTTCAAATATACGAGAACAGCTTTTTCTTCTTCTTTTTAAGGCAATGCAGGTGAATAGGGTAAAAAGTCCTAGTTACTAATTACACTTTACTTTCCCAGATGATTAATTATATTAAGAACAGCTTTAATTCACAAGTTTTCTAAAATGTTGAAATATGCAAATCACATACTATTTTTAATAAATATGCAGTAATTTGCAAACATTTCTAGCATTATAATCTGAATACTGGATTAATTCAGGTTAAAAATTGGGCAGGGGCCACTTGTACTTTTAGAGGGACACTTTAACATACATCACAAACTACTTCATTATTCGGTCTCTTTTATGCAGCACTCTGCAGTCTTCATAAACAAGATCATTCAAAATAATCTTCCTTCTTAATTTGTTTGACAAGCAACTTTGTATTGGTGCAGGATAACACATTTTTAACATTCAAGTACATTAAGGCACATTTTGCACCTGAAAACTTTAACAGATGGTTTTGAAGTCAAGTTTTTTTCCTCCCGTTAATTTAAAATAGTGTTTTCCAAGTGATTTTTAACTAACCAAGGAAAATTTCACAGTATTTCCTATAAAACAAAACTAATTCTTCTGGAGTCATAATAAGTCTCATTTGCTATAGTTTATCTCTTGAATAAAAGCAGTTTTAAAAAAAATAATAAGGTCAGCAATATCAGCCTCCTTAAGAAATATTTACTGTATATTTTTGATCGTCTACACAACAAACTAGTTATACAATAACTTGACTAATTATTCGAACTTTCCTAGTTAACATAACCTAGTTAAGTCTTTAAATTACACTTTAATCTGAATCAAAGACATTACTTGAATACTTAAAGGGACTTTTATTACGCACAGATCGTCTCCAGGAGAAAGATAAAAAACTAGTTATTAGAAATGAGTTAAACTATTAAAATTAAAAACGTGTTGTAAAAAATAATGTTTGAAGACTCGTGCTTTGTCACGACTGAAAACTAAAATGAGTGAAAGCAAAAGTAAACGAGTTAAATATTCATTTTATACGATCAGCTACGATGGCTGATCTCGCTTCACTGTGGCGTTTGACACACACATACATGTACAAATTTAGGGGGGTCAAGCTTGTTGACACGGAAGATACTGCAAACAGACAGGAGGTTTTTACTGAATCATAAGTTGTAAACAAACAGGCAAACTATATATGAAGATATACTGGTATAAGTAATAAAACAAAATTTTAAGTTAAAATTTAAGTTAACTTAAGTTAAAAAAAACTTAAGAATATTCATGCATTCATTTTCTTGTCGGCTTAGTCCCTTTATTAAACCAGGGTTGCCACAGCGGAATGAACCGCCAACTTATCCAGCACATTTTTACGCAGCGGATGCCCTTCCCATCCCTGGGAAAAGTTTAAGAATATATTTATGAATAAAACTAAAAAGTTTAGTGTATGTAAACACTACTGAAGTGGAGACGAAATCAGGACAAAAAAAAGCTCATTTTGAAAAAGAAAAAAAATACTTAAAAAGGGTATTATTAAAGCATTGCGTGTGTATTTACATATTTTCTTTTATATCAACCAGGGGAAAAAAAAACAATAAAACAACTAAAAGCTAAAAAGCCCAAAGTTTTCAGGGCTGTTCAACCCTGCCTGCAGTTTCACGGCTTAAAAAACACCTTTACTCAGAAAAGACAGTAAATAATCCAAGATGACCAAAAAGATGTTAAACAAAAATACTTGCATTTCCCAATAATCGCTGTTCTCTTTTATTCAAAGAATCCTTTAATACTGCATCACGGTTTCCACAAAATCTGCACTAGAGCTGAATCCTCTCTGACTGGGGGCTAACATCTGCTGAACATTCAGCTGTCACAGCAATTAATGGTAGTGTATATAACTTAAAAAATAAAAACCACATGAATACACACACACATACACACACTCAGATAAACGTAGTGTTTTGATTTATCTTTATTAAGTAAACTCTACATTTTTAATATTGCTTTGTTCCAATTTTTTTTCTCTTTTCCCCATTTATTCTAGATTACATCAGAATGCAATCAGCACAGTTTATATATATGTATTTATATAGATTTTTTTTGTTTTTTTTTCCAACCAAGCTACACTTGAAGAATACAAAAATATCACAGTACATTTTCTACGCAGTCACTCTCCACTAGTGAGTTTCAAAGCTGGGGCCGACGCTGGAAACATGGGAATCTGGCAGTGACGTTTATTAAACACTTAACTACGCTAGGCTGACGGTTTTCAACTGAGAACAAAACTAGATTTGCGTGGTTGGAGTAAATGTTGAAATTGCGAAGCCTGTTCTAACAGAATTGTAAATGACTTTCCAATAGCTGGATTTGTGATATAAAAGAACCCAATTTAAATGACAGGAAGCTCGAATTGTTTCGGATTAAAGCAATGTAATCTGGTCCAGCCAGACTTCTCTGTTCCAGCACTCAAGCCACCAACATCCAACCAGAACGAAAAAACAAAACTCACAGAGCAGGTCAGCAAGAACATTCTAGCATTCCTCATCCTGGTCGCTGCAGACACACCACACTATACAAAATATTAAAAACAAACAAAAAAATAAAACAAAAACATTGAAGAATCCTCACCCGTACTGATTATTGTTTCATAATAAAGGTTTCTTTTAGCAAAGTTTCATTTTTTATTCTTTTTTTACACCGCCGTCCACCGTCCAACGCTGAATTCCTTAACAACAGGTGGAAGCTCTGTTCTCCAGGGTAGAGGAATGTTGCAGTATGAGTCTGACGTTTAGTGGTTTTCTTCAAACGTGAACCAAGACCCCCGTCCCGTTATCAACCAACTAAATGAACTCGGGGGATCGAAAAGCATAGAAAACGGTGAATGGAAGATGGTAGGACACATAGATAAAACATAGATAGCCATTAAGTTACTCGACTGAACACACCAAAACAAGAGAACTCAAAAAAACAAACAAGAAAAGATCAGACACAACACTGGAGGGACCCACTCGACCCAAAATCTGTTCCACTTTCTCATGACTACTACGTTGGGGGTCATGTGAGTGGATTTATACAGGAAGTCCACAAGGCTGCACTTCCTGTGAAGGAGAAGGGAGATTGAGCTGCGTGTTAGTGTTCTGGCTTTGGGGGAGATTGAGTGCCTCTCATCCCCGTTGGGCTGAAGACCAGTCAGGGTGAAAAGGTGGCCATTTCCAGTGAGATCCGCTGCCAGAGTTCTTTAGTCTGTTTGCCCCTCTTTAGGTTCTGCAGCACATCGTTGAACTGCATCATGCCAACTGGAGTCAGACAAAACGCCCCGCGGGCACTTCTGATGATGTTCACAAAGTCGTCGTAGTCTGCGGGGGTCAGATGGATCAGCCTGTGGTGGATGTACTGGAACAAATACAAGCACACAGTGAGGTGAGTGGGGAGGATGGGAATTCTGGCTTTATATATTTTCCAGTATGTATACTGTTGTTTGATCTGTGAGTAGAGTCGGGTAGATTATTTATAAAAAAATATTGCAAAATCTGTGGTCAATACTATTATCTCTTATAGCAGTGGTTCTCAAACTTTTTTTGTCCAGTACCACCTCAGAAAAAAATTGTATCTCCAGTAGAGCTGCACGATTCTGGCTAAAACGAGAATCAAGATTTTTTTGCCTAAATTAAAGATCACGATTTTCTCACCATTCTGTAGATGTAAAATAAAGGTTAATATGAGTCGGCTATTATTATTTTCATTCTCAAACATGTGATAAAACAGCAATAGGCTTTGTGTAGCTGTACTGTCAGTTAAAATGCAAAAAATTGTATAGACTTGGAATAGTGGACTTGAACAGACTTTAGATTTGTCCTGGTCATTAATGCTGATGATAATACACAAATACATTACATGAAGACAGAAATGACATTTTTTGGGTGAATTATATCTTATAAATACAGCATGTGACTCTTTAAACATTATTTGGAGGTGTCCACGTTGCTGAATAACGTGTGTAAAACAATGCGAAGACTTGTGGGGCCACCATTGCTTCTCTCCTTGAACTTGAAAATATGACTGACAGAATCGTAGAAATAATGGATTAAGATCGTCTAGAGGGCCGAATCGAGATTGCGATCTTTTTACGATTAATTGTGCAGCTCTAATCTCCAGGTACCAACATAATGACGAGGCGAGGCAGAGTAATTCCTATTTTTAAGAATTATTATCAGCCACTTTAAACATAATAAATAGTTTGAACATTAACACTGTATTGTGCTTATGGCTAAAAGAAAAATTATTAAAAATAAATAAATGTGCTTTTGAAAATTGTAATTAAAATTTTAATTGTAGGCTACTGTTCGTAAAGTAAAAAGAAAATTCATACTTGCGGAATTTCCATGATTTGAGATCTCATGTTCAATGGACTGTGGAGTTTGTGTTATCCTCACAGAGACTAACTTTGATTAGGCTATATTCTAGCTCTAAACTTCAAACAAGGCAAAGCTGCTTGAGTCCATGTTCTGTGTCCCGCGACATTTGAATCACATCCAGATAAATTAGCTTAAATCTGAGGTAACAAATTAATCGAAAGCCACACAGCTTTACGGAACAAATAACTTTATATATCGAAATCAGGCATTATTTTACACAACTGCGAGCACACATTTACCACATTTGTGAGAATTATTTTACCAATGATGCAGCATGGGGAGATTCCTGAGTTTGCAGTAACTGAAATGCCAACACAACAGCACTGATCTGCAAAAGTACTTCTCTAGCGTGCATCTGCTCCGCAAGTGCCGCGCGCCTCTTCCTCGGGTTGATTTTTAGCATCCGATAATGCAAGGAACTAAAGTAAACATTCTAAGTACACCGGTGTAAACGTACGCTTTTGGAAACAGCAATTGCTGATCATATCAGTGTAATCATTTGCGTCAAAGCGTTTGTTTTTATTTCATTATTCAGCATTTCTCCGCGTACCACTGGAAAGAAGCCCGCGTACCACTAGTTTGAGAACCACTGTCTTATAGCATACACTTATAGCAATTTAATCTGACTACTTTTGATCACATTAAGGTTACTTTTGTATGAACGCTTATGTGATGCCTGTCGCATAGGGCTTGGCAATAAAAAGTAAACTAACAAAAGCTGTGAATCTCATGTACATCTTGTCAGGGAAGCACAGCTCTATGATCAGTAACAAATCTCTTATGGAAGCCAGAGGGAGGTCATGCAGAAACTGTAAATAGGCTGAAAAAGAGAGACCCGGAATTTCAAATAGAGGATTCTAAAATGGATGAATAAATGTTTTTAATTTATTAAATTTCGTGACTAATAATCATACGACTTGGGAATTACCACATAAAGATTTATTTCATAATTCCACTGAAATTATGAAGTTTGGAGTAAATCCATCTTATTAAATGTGATATATTTAGATGGACCACCATCACAAAGCTCCAAACAATGAATCACAGAATGATTATCCTTAAATCGTGCGGGATTACATCGTTTGTGACTTGTATAGTAAACTCTTTATAGTAAACGCTCTTCTGAAATCAGTTGCTGGAGATTTACTCATTACAGAGCCTGCTTTACTGCTAAAATGCACATGCAAATTTTGATTTATGAGGCGGCTCTACTGCCACATGTTGATGTAGGATAATCTTGTACTATTTTGACAAATATGCTAACACTAACACCTTATTGTTTGTGTTCGCTAATACTAACACTGGATAAAACAAAATTACATGTTAAGTACATGTACTTAAAATTAGGTGAATTTAGAAAACTGTAACATTACAAAAAACAATATGAAATTCACAGTAACAATGATAACCGCAAACAACAGCAACACTGCAAACACAAAGTATCACAGTTGCATACAAGTGGCAGGTATATTAGAAAATATCTATAAACACACATTAAAAAAGTAAATAAATAAATAAAAACAAAAAAGTAAAAAATAACAAAATAAATAAAAATTAAAGGGAACCAATGAAATGTGAACAACTTACTGCCATTGTGTAAATAATATGTAGCAATGTAATCCCTATATTTAAAATGTAGTTGTAATGTAGTCAATTACAAGTACTTACTTTACTGATTACGTAAACTAAACTACATATAATCCATTACTAAGAAGCTTTATAAAGCAACTTATGGAATGAAATTAACATCAAGCAAGCACAAGTGCCAACATATTTGCATTGGCGAATATATAGGTTTGTGTACTGCCCATTTCCCACACACACCACCAGCAAGTTAAAGTGTTAAGTTAAAAAGTTAAAGTGTGATCACATTTGCAAAAGGTGATGCGATTTCACAATCAAAAAGATACATTATCTGTTATAGTATTAACTTTTGGCACAAATTGTCAAGACAAACCTTAACACAAATTAAATGTGGGAAACTTTACCACCCGTATATAATACTCTACCAATTCCTACTGAAATGGCATGTTGTTTTTGTCCGCAAACTTCTGCTGAACAACAGTAAAATGTGTCTGCAACTTTAGTTTCACATTAAGCAAATTAAGTTAGGCTTGATGTTTGTAATAACTCTAGTTTAAAGTGAATTTCAGTTAGTGTTTTGAATACTTTTTCGCTTGAAACATTTGTTGTGAAGAGATGGGAACTAAAATGGTAGCTTCACATTATTTCTAAATAAACTTCTAAAAAGTTTTGGTGATGCAATCCTCTTGCAGAAACAGATAATTTTGAAAGTAAACAAAATCATCCACAATCTTCCCTTCTCTTTTTTTTTCTTTGTGTCCCCTTAGGGGTTCTAGAGAAGCAGGATGCTAGGAAGGAAAAATAAAGTTTCTCTAGAAAGAAAAAACCTTTTTGGTTAAAGGATGATCTCTATGGGAATGATAATTAAAAAAAACTGAAAAGCTGGATGAGAAACTAAATGCTGATGCTTCTGTAGATAATATATTGTTCTGTTTGTGTAATGCACCATGTTTTTACCAATTATGTATTTAACAACTGAAGAGTTATGAATAAATTAATAAGGATGCATGATTAAATTCATGACGCTACATTTTGGACTTTCATTCATTCATTCATTCATTCATTCATTCATTCATTCATTCATTCATTCATTCATTCATTTATTTGTTTATTTGTTTGTTTGTTTACTTTCTAGCTCTAAAAATGTGCTTACTTATTGAATAAACTCATTACCCACATCTTCCCACGATTAATTGTGCAACATTATAAAATGCATAAACATCTTGCTACTGGATGGCACTAACTTTAACCAGTTAATAAAATGTAAAGAGGTTATAAAGCATGTTCAGATGGACCCGCAGCATATTGAGTGAATTTCCCACCAGCGACATACAGAATGAGTCAGTGACAGCCTGTGAGGTTTCCACTCGAGTACAGCCTCTCGGTCCCTCATCTCATTATCCACGCATGGAGAGACTGGATTAGACCTGGCACTGTTTCCCTTTCACGTTTACCCAACATTCATTTGGGAAGATTTACAGTGGCAGACGTATGGTAGATGCTCCCTTGATTTAGGCATTTTGAAATTTTAACGGTTCGTTCACACAAAAATGAAAATTCAGCCATCATTTATTTACCATGGTTCTGTACTAACAGGTACACCCTTCTTTCTTTTTAGGGAGAAATTTAAAAGAGACTGGTGCTCCAAAACTATGAATTAAACTGGCTTCCTGCTTTTAATCAATTGATAAACAAAAGAAAATAAAAATGAGTAAATTTCTAGTAGTATTATTTATTACTTGCATATTTATATTTGTTTTAATAAAAACAAATTTAGATTTGTCCACCTGTCAGGTTTTAGAGACGGATGCGTCACTATATGGGGCATAAGAATGGGAATTCTGTTTGGATATAACGGATATAATGTGTTTTTTTTTTTTTTACACTTTTTTGAACACACTTTTTTATTACTGTTGTTCATTTATTCATTTGCTGTAAATTAAAACTGAATTTAAAAATAGTTTTGAAACAAATCTTTGCGCTTAAACAAAATAAAAAAATATAGGCTACTGAATGTTTTAGTGGAGTGCGTACAACACTATTTCAACAACACAAAGTAAAGAGGCCAAATGGAGGAGGCTCATTCTTTATCCTCGCGCTGCAGATGGTTTGTTTAACTGTTAGACAAAGTCTACCATGTAAATAGCAAGTGTACCATGTTGTGACGCAACTTACTCTTAAAGGGAATATGAGATGAGACTCTGATTGGTTTAATGCATGTTATGCTCAAAACATACTCATAACTCTTTAAGAGAATAAGCACAACCCTGTTAGACCATGCGCCTGTTAGACCAGGGCACAAAGCATATTTTTCCATCCTTAAAATAGCACAAGTGAATTCGGACATGCCCTTAATGCTTTTGCGCTTTACACTTTGCGCCTAGATCATCAAAATAGAGCCCAGAATGGTTGATGAATGTGACAAGGTCCTATTGGTTGCAATGCATAACTCAATGCATAGATCTTATTGTGTGTCACATTTCTCTCAACACTTTAAGGTAGCATAAAGTGCTTTATATATATTATATGCTTTATATATATTAAAAATATATATGTATTTTGATTTCGCATGAACTTTAAAGGGATAATTCACCCCAAAAAGAAAATGTACCCCTATTTACTTTCCCTCAAGTGGTTTTAAACCTTTATAAAAGTTGCTTTATTCTGTTAAATACTAAACCTATTTTGAAGAAAGAACTACTAACTTCGAAAATACAAATGCCATGGAAGTCAATGATTCTTCAAAATATCTTCTTTTATATTCAAAAACTTAAACAGGTTTGGAACAAGTAAAAGGTGAATAAATGATGACAATTTTCAGTTTGGGTGTACTATCCCTTTAAATGCACTTTTTTTTTTGTCAATCATCCTCACATATGCAGGTCTTTGACCTGGACCTATATATTAAAACAGGAAGAACGGTTCCATTACCATGAAATTATTCAGATATTTTAAAATTACAAAAGAATAAAATATATCATCAAATGATAGTAACATCAGTGAGTACCTCCTCAGTACATTAAGCATCTGGCTTATACTTGCAGTCTCATTCATATTCTCAAATCTATTCTTTCAACAGTCTTCAAAATCAATATTTTGATCACTGAAAGCCGATTCACCAGATCCGTGATTAACTGACTGTGACAATTATATCAGATCACAAACAGTAACTGCTCTGCAGTAAAGCCATTTAAGCCATTTTAACTTCTGCATTTTGCTGATGATATTCTAGTTTTATGCCTGTGGTAATTAAAAGTTAAATGTCACGCTATCATTATGTACCGGAAACTGCCATCTAGAGGTATAAGGGTGAGTTGCACACAATGAGAATTCAGATATATAATTTTTGATCCAAAAAAAAAACCTATTTACTGACACTAATACATTACACACCCTTATATCAGGGGTGTCCAAACTCAGTCCTGGAGGGCCGGTGTCCTGCATATTTTAATTCCAACCCCAATTAAACACACCTGAACCAGCTAATCGAGCTCTTTCTAGGTATACTAGAAACTTCCAGACAGGTGTGTTGAAGGAAGTTGGAGTTAAACTATGCAGGATATCGGCCCTCCAGGAATGAGTTTGGACACCCCTGGGTTATACACTTTAAAAAAATAGTTATTTATTGTTTTAAAAATAATTTATTTTTATTTTTAAAGCTTACTGCTGCTTCCACTTTCCTTATAGGCCCAAGCGCAGACAGAATTTTGATTATTTTTTATTTCTCTCAATGTGGTCCAAAAGAAAACAAGGGCATATTGTATAATAACAACATCAGGATGAGTGAACTGTAGCTTTAAGGGCACTACGAGTGTCCACTTGCATAAACAACTGCGCCGTATGCCCATGCAACAACTTGAAACCTCTTTGAAATGGCAAAATAAAGAGCGTAAGCTGGCTAACAGGTAGCTGCAGAGCGTGTCTGTGTGTGCGAGGCAGAGATAGCATGTGTGTGTGTGCTCGTTCTCTAGGAGGCAGCTTTTGGCTTTGGGCTGTCACAGTGTGTTTGATGCTCTCTCATCAGTATGCGCCATCCTGTGAACAGACTCAGGCTTCCCTCTCTAGCTTTAACACTCCAGAATTGTTCATGCACAATTTATATTCAGTGTGGGCGACAATACCATCGCAATCCAGCTCTGGCACCACTCGACTGCTCTAAAACCCTTCTCAAATTCTCTACTTCAAACTTGAAACTTGGTCTAACGAATAGAAAAATGAACTTGGAGACGGTTGAGCCGCATTCAATACCAAATGTCAGCCGTGACGAATCATCTTATGTGTGAGAGTGTAATTTTAACTGCTTCTGTCAGTGGAAGGACGTATGTTGTTCCTGGATAATCACCACTGTCATCAGGGTACGGATTTATTTCAGGATTTCATCCAATTAAGGGATGTTATTAGTAATAATGTCAGTTTGATTAGTTTCCCCAGGCTGAACGGTAGGGATTTGGGAGACTTTACCTGTAAGTAGGCCTGCTGGCAGCGCTGCACGAGCTGGTGGAAGGCAGGAGTGCGGAGGTGTGCGTGGATATGAGCAGGGTTTAACCTCTGCAGGGCCTCCATAATGATCTCCTGCAGGACAAACGGACTAAGAACACCTTTCGCTGCCCCCACGCAAAACTGGTAGACATGGTTCACACCTGAGGAGAGATGCAGGCGGGGGAAGAGAAAAATACATCGTATTTGCATTCAAGCTTTAACGGTTTTAGATTAAATAATTATGTAAGCTTCTGATGGATCCTTTTCACATTTTCACATTTCTTAGCATAGGTAGTCATCATAGATAGATAAACTTGGAGCTCAGTTAAACAAAAAACATTTTGGATTCCTATTTGCTCGCATAATAAAAGAAAAACTTAACTATAGTATATATATATATATATATATATATATATATATATATATATATATATATATATTTATATATATCAAGACTTTCAGAAAAAAAAATAATAATAAATGACAGCAGCCAGAAGAAAGAACTAGGCATGGGATGATAAACGGTTTCAAGGTTTATTAAGGTTTTTAAAACTGCCAAATATTTCTGTTATATTGTTTCTACAGTATTTGCAAGTTTGCATCCTATAATTTCTAAAATATCAGCCTCTACCAAATACATATACTATGAAAAATCTGAAAATATTAAGTGTAAGACTAACTTATTTTAAAATATATATATTTAAAATAATAATACTAAAATCACCTTATTTTTGAAGTATGCCATAAATTATTTCAGATTCTCATTTAACATGTTTTCTTTCTTTTTTTTATTAAATCAAAATCAAGTGTAGTAGTGCAACAGGATGCTTGTTTGATTTTTTGTAAACCAATGATTCTGTGTGAAATCCATTATTTAAAACATCATTATTTAAATGACTTTAACAGTCATTACTAAAAACATGGTCAACCATTTGAAAGAGGGGCAGTCAAAGGGTTCAAATAAAAGTGTTCAATGAGAAAAAATGTTTTTTTACCCAGACATTTAAAAAGAACCTATTTTAAAGAAAGTAATCACAATACTGTGATATTTTTAAAATAACAATGTCAAATTTATTGTCCCATCTAGAGACACTGATTTAGAAATACCTTGAATATACCTTTTTTGTAATTTGAAGCAAAGATGATATAATACAAAGTAAAACTTTATGTACATACTTAAAAAAAAAAAAAAAAAAATCTAAATGTTAAAAACTTTAAGATTTAAGAGGCTGACGACCATTAATGCATCAAAACAGTCTTGTGAAAAGGGTCCATTCTTTATCATTTATATAATTTCAATTCAAGCATTGACAATTTATAACAATTCAAGGATGGTAACTTATTTCACTGCTTTCTAGTTGTATCTTGTTTTACAATGCATGGCTTTGCTTGTTCTGACTGTTTGTCTTTTTCCCAGACACATAAAATTCACTTAGCATCAATTATTCATTTTGAAATATTTGACTTGGACATCAAATAATCCTGATTGAGAGCTGTTGGTCAAAAAATAGATTCAGAATTATATCCAACAACAATACATTTCTAAATTAAATTCTTTAAAATTCGTTAATAAAGTCCACATTAAAAAATTTATTAAATAAACTTAAATGCCTAAAGGCCAGTTGTTGAATTTCCTTGGAACTGCAAGTCAATTATGTCATTTAATTTTATGATAAACTACCAGCCAATTTGATTTGATGAGCTGTTTTCAAGAGTCCTGACATTTCATATAAAAATGATCTAGGATAATTCACTTTGATTAATTGTGTTTGTGATGTTCCAGAACACAGTAAGTGTAGAATCTGGAGCAAAAAAGCTGATTTTTAATTTAGAGTTAGAGGTCTGGTGTTGACAAAGTGAAAACAGAGGAGAAATTGCTGTCAGATCCCTCACACAGTCTGTTCACACACGAGCCTGGCAAATACAGTTTAAGATTTAAGTATTTAACCCAGAAAATCCTTCTAAAGGAAATATGTGGAGGACCAATTAAACTACACGTCCATCTCAGTGGGGATCATTAGCGAGGAAAGAGGACAAATTACTCATTTGAAAGGATGCTGAACCTGAAGCGGACTAAATATTTTTTGCTTCTACATTTTCAATCGTAACATTTAGACCCAAGAAAACTGGCAACATGCTGCGATCAGCGTGGGATAAATCTCCGAGTAAAAGAAAAGACATCAAGATGTCAATAACTCAGCTGGAAACTCGCTGTTGAAACCGCTCTCTTCTCTTGTCTGCTGAAGGCAAGGTAAACTGCCGATACATCATTTATAGTCTACCTCAGCCATTATACCAGATAAAGGGAAATGAAAGGAGATTTTATAAAACTGATCTTCCCTTAAAGCAGTACTGAGAAGAAAGTTGGACTTACCAAGACGTGCAGCCAAGCCCAACAGCCATTTGACGTCTTCTGTGTATGGGGGACTTCGGGAAAAGTTGTTTGGGTGATCGTTGTGGGCCCTTCTTCCCAACATCTCCAAAGCCAGCATCCCTAAAAGAGATCAGGAACATTTGGCCATCAACCCCTTTGTCCTGCACCACACTGTACTGATCTAGTATTGAATTGGCACATGCACCCAACGTCCTAATCTCCAGGACTTATGAGTACTGATAAAACGGAAATCATGCCTTAATTAATATTTCTCACTGTGAGAGTTCTTTGTCAGTCCTGCAACATGGACTCAACCGACCTCTCCCTCACCTCTCTTGATAATTAATCACCACAATTCAGGACCAGATGGATCCTATTGGGTGCAAAACAGCAACATAAGGACAGGCAAGCCATGCCCTAAAGGATCTGTGTAATTAGAAATCAAGCGGCCTTACCGACTCTGTAGGCCGAGTGGAGGTAGTGCAGGCCCTGCTGGCTGATCGGCTGGCTGTGCTGCTCGTCTTCCACAGGGAAGGGTGCGCTGACCAGTGAGGGAGGCTGAGACGAGAGTCCTGGAAGAGAAGCCCCTTGAATGGCCTGGATGGCGGCACCGGCGTGTACTCCTCCTGCAGGGCAAAAGAGACGTCAGTAGTGTCAACAAATTTACAAATAGCGTGCCCTCCTAAAAGTCTCTGGTGAAGTGTTAAGAACTGTAATGAACTTTTGAAATAATGACCGAACTGACTTTTTATTTACAGAATTATAAATTTAATCCACACAATTGGCAAATGATCATAACAGTCTGGAGCACGAGCATCCTGTGGCAGAATGACCAATGTTAAGTTACAAAGAAATCATTTACTCTATTACATTATTATCCATTAAAAAATGTAAAGTAAGGGATTACTGTTCACCTTCAGGTAATTCAATTCTTAGTTACTTTTAATGTACTTTCCTTAAATACAGCTAAGTTTTTTCCAACTAAAGAAAGTTTCATTTATCGATTATGCATGCTTAAGAAATGATGAATTTATTAAGAAATTAGTTTAGGACAATATGTGACCCTGGGCCACAAAACCAGTCAAAAGTGTCCATTTTAGAACAACTGAAGGCTGAATAAACAAGTATTCCATTGAGATTTATTTTGTTATGATCAATGGTCAATATTTGCCAAAAAAGTGTCTAAATAAAATGCTTAATGCATATTACTTACCAACAAATGAGTTTTGATGTATTTACAGTATAAAATGTACAAAATGTCTATATAGGATATGATCTTTACTTTCTAATGATTTCTGTAAGAAAAATCTATAATTTTGACCCATACACTGTACTTTTAGCTATTGCAACAAGTTTGTAATTAAATTTTAATAGCAATTATTTTTTAGACATAATTAGAAAATTAATTAAGTACAACTTCAAAAAAGTAACTTATTACCAATTACACAATTGTAGTAACTTAACACTGAAAATTACATATATTAAACAAAGAAACTATCAACTATTAACAATCTCAGTAGAGATCATGCATGACTATGTGCATGTATTTGTACATTTATTTTACATTGCAATATCTAGGACATGCACACATAAGTACAATTTTAATTCATAAAAAAGCACCCTGCTGTACTGTAAACATATGCAAGTTTGCTTCTGTTCATACATCATTAAATGTAACCAGAAACTGATGCTCCAGACCATCCTAAACTCTTCTCGAGAGTGTACTAAAGCTGTGAATTACACATTTTGTAAATAAGGCCTAAGTTGTTGCTCTGACTGCTAAAAATGGGCTAAAATCTACTTTAATGTTTTACACAAGATAAATAGTCACCAACACCTTGGATGTGGGTGAGCAAATAGCACATTTATCATAATCCTGGGATTGTAGGAATATTGCTGGCCTCAAGAAAAATAGTTTGTTACTCATTTTCTCAAAGGTCATTTTAATTAACATCACCTGTCAACAAAAAAAAATATATGTATTTTTCATTCTTAGGTAAATAATATTACCATTTTCAGTCCACAACCAAGTATCGTAACCTGATTCTAGTATGACTCAGGTGTAGACGTATGCCGATATTCAATACTCCAATATATCATGGTAATAGACATGCACAATATTGATACTATAAATAACTATTTATCATTATATTAGAGTGCCTTCAAAAATATTTGCATCATAATTACACTGGTTCATAAAAATCCCAAATGCTTGGACACTTCATTGGTTAGCTTATCAGTTTAGCTTAAACATACTCAGTTGTTAATCTGGCCTACTACATGCTGATATATTGATAGGAAATTGACTATTTAAAGAGTTTTGTATGTTAACAATGTGCAATAAGGCACCAATAGTTTAAATATATACTGTATACGTGTCCCAACCTCTCTTCACGTTTCAGTTGAGATTACTTCAAACATCGAATAATAAGAAAGCACATTTCAAAGCACTTCACAGGACCTTTAAAATAACCTTTTTTGCAGCTTAGGTCAATATCGGGATAATACCTTACAACAAAATCTGCATTACAGACAGCTTTTTTGTTTGTGTGGTTACTGCATGTTGCCTTTGTAGGGCAGTATTGTCACTGTGATGAATAAAAAAGACTGAGGCTATTCAGAAACCTAAAATTTCCATAGAATATTTTTTTCTTTTGGATCAAAAACAATCATGCCTGAAACAACACTTTCACCTGTATGATGTTCAGTTGACATTTATTTGCACTATGCAAGATATGAACTGCCACTGACTGGAAATGGAGTCAGCAATAAAAGTGACAGTAAATCTGAATGTTGACAAAAAGATGTCAATGTTAAATGCTGACAGAATTACAATAGACCATTTTGAGGAATGTAAACAAAAACAGTGGTCGCAACATATTTCCTGTTTTACATTTTTATTTCTTTAGCTTCCAAGAATACAAAAAAAGCCACATATTGATCAATTTTATGACCGCTGTTTTAACATGAAGTTATGATTGACTTGCCTCTTTCCACAGCAATGAAATAGGTTGATAAGCAGGAAATGTTCATGGGCCACTGGCATCACCACATTGAAATTGTCTATAGGGTATTCTGGCTTAAAACATGGTCTAAACAGATGGGTAAGTTTCAATAGTGGTGAATGAAAACTAAAATATCTATAACTATAATAGATGTGTGATGTTAATAATGATGAAACTACACCACAGTCATTTACTGTTTTACATTTCAAAGAATTAAAATCAATTCAGATTCTGAACCAGGGATTTCTGAGATAAGGATACTAGTATTAGGTAGGCCGTAATCTGAACATGTCAGTCTTAAATGCAACAAAACAGCTATTTAAGGTCATGAATTGACTATTATTTCAACCACAAATAAATTACTAATGTAAATTCAATGAAAGTACTAATCATTTCTTACAAATAGCAGTGAAACTGTAAAATTTCAGTATTAACCCAATGGACATTATATGTTGTGCCCAAAATTGTATTCAGATGGAATTGAAATTCTTCAACATCTTCAACTTGGGTTCCTTACCAGCCACAGTAGTGGTGAGTGGAAGCGCTGCCTCTGCGGTGTGGTATGGGTGAACCGCGATCTGAGTCATGGACGGCACTGGAACACCAGGGAAAGTGACAGCAGTAGCTGCCAAAGGAGGATGTGGGCCAGTGGCCACAGAGAACGGGTACTGAGCACCAATGAAGGCAGGGTGCATTCCCTGAGAAGAGAAACAGGCGCTTTTTAAACCTGGTTGATACGCCTTCCTTAACTCATACACCTGCCATTGAAAAACGAAAAGCCACAAAATTAAATTAAACCAAGGGCACAGTTGTAAAGATAATTATACACATAATCTAGAATGACTCTGCATCCATTTACATTCTGCCAGAAATGTCACACTAAGCATCGCTGACTGCCAAGTAAATGTCTACGTTAATGTATAAATTTAGCATTTATCACCTTCAGTTAAGTGCAGGCCAACAATATTACACCCTGAATAAAAATTCTATGCACATGTAATTACAGCCTATGAATTATATAAAAGAGCTCATACTTGTGGGTAGGCCGCCCCAGACACAGGGAAGACAGCAGGACGGGGGACGTGTTGAAGCGGGTGGCCTAGGTACTGTGGGGTGCAGACGGTGGGCAGATGTGTTTGGATGGTAGTGTAGGGATGCAGGCCTTGCGTGTGCGCCATGGCGGAGCCTGGCAGCGCATGAGATTGGTAGATGGTGGAGCCGACAGAAATGACAGGTACTACCGCGGCTGCGGTCACTGTTGTAGTTACAGCAGAGACACCTGATGAATCCAAAGCTCCGGTATTATCCAGAATACCACAGCCTCCTTCCGGTGGCGTTCTCCCAGCTCCACCATTGGCCCCGCAGCGTCCGGAACCTTCTCGCTGAGATCCCGAACCACCGCCAACGGTTTGTTCATAAAGCCAATACCACTGATGAGCCACCTCGAATAGGACCTCTGGATAAACACCACCTCCTTTTGCAGCCTCCTCAACGGCCATGCATGCTTTCTCCAGCATTACATTGTCCTGAAAAGCCACAAGCAGATGATTTCGATAAGCATAAAAATCTGATTACAGTCAAACAGAATGCATGTGAGCTTTTCTGGATGGTACCTGCTCCTTGCACTGCACCAGGGCTCTCTGAATCTCATTGGGGTTCAAGGCATGAGCATGAGGCAGGCAGCTCAAGGCCAGCTCTGCCGCAGCTCGCACCATGTTAGGATCACGTGCACGCGACGCACGATCTGCCAATGATGCTACCTCTGGAGGAGTAAGGTGCCCGTCCCAGCATTCCACCAGGATGTTGAGAGCAGCACTCCCAATCTCCATAGCCTGGCCTGTGGAAACAAAACAGAAGAACTTAAATATGAAATTGTATTTATATACAGTATATGTCCCTGTGATGTATTTGATCTTTTCATCAATCTAAATTTATCCATATAAATCAAAATGTAAAATCCATCCACATATAGCCACCAATAAATATCTAGCTACCCATCTGCCTATTAGCATATATGCAGTCATGTCTATTTACATCTATCAGCATGCATTCATGTCTATGCACAAACTCCGATTCATACATCTTTATCTACCCACATTTAGATTTCCATCCATTCATCCCCAGACCCACGTCCATCAACAAAAAATCTAATAGTTCATCCACATCCATCCATTTAATCATCCATAATAATCCACCATCCATCTAATGTCTAACCATTTTGGAATTAAACATTTATAAGATCTATATTATAAAGCATTTAGGGGTGTATTGGATTACGGTTGATCAGTGATTCATACGGATCACAACCCATGGTTCGGAACACAGGTGACCCATAGATTAAAACTTTTTTTTTTTTACTTGTATTAATCCTAAATTAGTACAGATTGCAGAGAGATCGCCTCTCGTGTCATTCAAATCACATGTATGAAAGCATTTATTCTTTCCTGTAAAATATAGAGATGATGGAAGAAGTTGTGGTGGGTTTTCAGGATGTGGTGGGTTTCATTAAAGGTGTTTTCTATCACTAGTTGTTTGGCCTTCATTAATGAATTTAATTTAAACAATTAAATTCAGTGTAAATGCATTACAATCAATTATAAATGATGGTGATTTGCATATATTTTTTAATACTTTAAAATCGCTGCATTCAAATCTGTGTTTGAAAAACGCAAAAACCAAGAAAGAGATTGAGTATTTAGTTTACAAACAGTCAAATAACACAGAAGTACTGAGACAACAGTTAATAGTTTAGACAAAACCGCTGATGTTTATACAGGACATATGCAGGAATCCCAAAGGTAATTTCACTAGCTTTTTAAGACTTTTAAAGACTTGTATATTTTAGGACCTCATCGCCACTTCAAGTTCAAATCAGTATCAAACTTTTAACTTAATAAACAGTTGTTAATAAACAGTTGTAGTTAAACATATCAATGGAGCACAACCATGCAACAGAACTCAGATAAGCTCGAAAGAATCAAAGCTTGAAATAATAAAATAAGCGGCTGTTTTTAGCAACAGGCTTCAGCCACTGTTTAAACTCGTTAATCTCCAACCAGGAGTACACAAACGTACATTTTCCCATTTTGCCGTCTGTTTCGCTCGTGGTTTCGCTACATGTGGAGAGGGACACATCACCTTCCCACGTTTGTTGCAAATTATGTGACATGACCTGGATGATCCTCAGCCTGTACCAATCACGTGGATCGAGCATGCCGTTGTTAATATTAAAAGGAAAATAAATATATTTAGGCTTTTTTGGAGTCACTTTATACACTTGGGACAATGCTTTAACAAAATTTAAGACCTTGTAAAAACGTGATTAAGACTTTAATACATTTTAGGTGCCTCAATTTTCTCATATTTGATTAATCAACTTTTAATACTTTAAGACCCCGCGGACACCCTGTTATAGTAAAGATTAAAATAACTGTCATATGCTCAAAAACGAAAGTTGTAGGCAGCAATTACGCTATTTAACCAATAGATGGTGACAACCAGCCATCAAACATAAGCCACTGAATAATTCTTCAAAAAGTACACATTTTGCATGAAGTTTAATAAGTATAATTGAATAAGTGAATAACTGAATCATTTATTGGTAATGAGACTAAAAATAAATATGGGTAGTACAAATTATAATGTTAGATTTATACATTTAGCGTCATCAGCAACAGTGAATTTTTTTTCAGTATTAAATATTTTACTAGAGGCAACGCAGTGGCGCAGTAGGTAGTGCTGTCGCCTCACAGAAAGAAGGTCGCTGGGTCGCTGGTTCGAGCCTCGGCTCGGTCAGTTGGTGTTTCTGTGTGGAGTGTACATGTTCTCCCTGCATTCGCGTTGGTTTCCTCCAAGTGCTCAGATTTCCCCACAGTCCAAAGACATGCAGTACAGGTGAATTGGGTAGGCTAAATTGTTCGTAGTGTATGAGTGTGTGTGTGTGTGTGTGTGTGAATGAGTGTGCGTGGATCTCCCCCAGAGATGGGTTGCGACTGGAAGGGCATCCACTGCGTAAAAACGTGCTGGATAAGTGGGCGGTTCATTCCGCTGTGGCGACCCCAGATTAAAAAAAAGACTAAGCCGAAAAGAAAATGAATGAATGAATAAATATTTTACTATTTTTTTTTTCAGTTGATTATTTTTACTTTATTTTTTAATAAAATTACAGTCTCTAAGTTCTGTTTGGTAAAACCAAAAGTTTTTTGCAGTACTGTTCTTGTAATAAATAAAAAGCAAATTACATTTGTCATCTCCTATTTTTGGCTCCGATCCATGACTAAAAAACCATAACGTTATCCAAACTGTGAGATTTGTGATCCATTACACCACTAATAGCAATAGTTTAGAACCGAAAAATATATATATACATAGTGTTTTACATTTTGAGGTAAACATGACAATCTACAAAAGATCATAACAGGAAGCCTAGGTGTAAGACATTAACCCTTTGTCTTTATGCACTTCCAGACTGTCAAACTGTGCCTTTGCCCCTATGAATTTCAGGACAATACTGCCAGGCTGATTAGCAGCAGCTATGCATTTTAATTAGTACTGACGCAAAGGAGATCAAGACAAGGGAGGTACCAGAGCCAAGCTGACTCCTGTACTTCATTTGCAGGCTTTGTTTAGATTTGTCTACACCTGTAACACAACTCCCTAATAAACCAAAAAATACAGTGCAACACTGCACTAAACAGACTTCTTAAAGACTGTAGCAACAGTGTGTTCTCAATGAAAAATCCTTTTAAAAGAGTCTCCTGTCTTCGCTTCTAAATTCACAACCCCATCATCCATCAATCCATGCATCAACTACCCATATCCATCCATCCTTCCATATTCAAACAACCATCCAGACATCAATCCTACCATATTCATCCATCCATCCATCATCTACACCCATATTTATCTATACAATCTACCAATCCATCATCCTTCGCATCTATCAATCATAAGCCATAACTAACGATGCATCTGTCCATAAATCAAGCATTCATCTTTTAACCATCTACCCATCATCAAACTATCTCTTACCATTAATCTATTTCTAACCCTGTAGTAGTACTATAGTACTTTTTTTAATCACTGCAGAGCAATCGTTTCTCACCTGTAATCCAGGATACGTGTGAGGAATACGTTCTTGATAGCCAATTAGGAGACACAAAATTATGCAGGCCAAGGGCATACAGGCCGATCTCAAAGGCACACAGATGTAGGTTGCGGTGTGGCCCCTGGTGGCCTCCGCTGGCAGAGGGCTGAGTGAAAATAGAGGTGGAGCTGTTTCCACCAGCTTTAATCAGCACAGTCTTGGCCAGCTCAAAGTAAAAATGGGCAGCTGCCTCAGACGGCTGGTTTGGTACGTGTGGAGCATGGCATTCGGGCCGACGGCCTTTATACCTAAAAAAACAGAGATAATGCATGTCATAACCTGCAAAGAAACTGAATCAGGGAATATGTTCTGGAAATAAATGAGCTAACAATTGTTGTTGACATAATGGAGCACGGTACAAACAGGCTTGTCTCACCTGCTGGTGTCAGTACTCTTTGCTCTGGCTCCTCCTCCAGCTCTGCGTGAGCCACTGGATGATGAAGAGCCTAGTGAATCAGAGGAAGAGCTGCTAATGCTGTCGCTGTCCTGACCTCTCCCCCAGGAAGTAGCGGTCCAACCTCCTCGAATAGGTCGTCGGCTGAGAGTAGGAGAGCTGTCTGAGGTGGTCTCTGGAGCACTGCTGTCTATGCTTGCCATACCTTAAAAACAAGAAACACATATCTAGATGCAGTCCAGTGTTGAGAGGTATATGAAGTTTAATCAACCAACCAACCAACCAACCAACCTATCTATCTATCTATCTATCTATCTATCTATCTATCTATCTATCTATCTATCTATCTATCTATCTATCTATCTATCTATCTGTCTGTCTGTCTGTCTGTCTGTCTGTCTGTCTGTCTGTCTGTCTGTCTGTCTGTCTGTCTGTCTGTCTGTCTGTCTGTCTGTCTGTCTGTCTGTCTGTCTGTCTGTCTGTCTGTCTGTCTGTCTGTCTGTCTGTCTGTCTGTCTGTCTGTCTGTCTGTCTGTCTGTCTGTCTGTCTGTCTGTCTGTCTGTCTGTCTATCTATCTATCTATCTATCTATCTATCTATCTGTCAATCAATTTGTGAATCCATCATTGTCTGTCTGTCTATCTATCCAACAATCAATTAATATATCTGTCTATCAATCTATCCAACAATCTATCCATCTATCCGTCCGTCCTTTCATCCATCCATCAATCTACCCATCTATTCATCAATCTACCCATCCATCCACCCATCTCTCATCCATCCAATCATCTCCCATCCATTCATCTCCCATCCATCCATCCATCCATCCATCCATCCAACAAAATCAATCCATCCATCAATCTATCCATCTATCTATAGATACCACTTGACCATTCCTTACTCTCTCTGCACATTAACCAATTTTTTTTCTTTAATGGAAAGTAATTCTTCATGTTAAAGCATATTTGATTGATCTAAAACTGTATACAGTATTATGCCATTGAACTGTTGTATGAACACAATACCGCACAAGTAGCAATGCAATATGGTTGTAAATCAGCACTGCTATGATTTACTGTGGCCTCACTTGTGCACCACAGCAGTACTGATAAACAGCTGTATTGCAGTGCTGCTTTTGTGATGCTGCTCTAGTATGTCATTTACCAATTATTATAATATGCTGATTTCTTGTTAAATTATTATTTATTGTTTAATAAATTAATTGCATAATGAAATAAATAACATTTAAAATAAAAAATAAAAAATCTAAAAAAATGTTTATATATGATGTGGGATAAACTGGAATCAAAGCTGTCTGCTTAAATGCCATGCATCAGTACTAAATTTAGTTGTTTCTTTCTTGGCAAAATTTCCAAATGTAGCAATATATTAAATAACCATATACAAAAGTAAAAGAGTGAATTCCACTTTCTCTTACCAGTGTGTTTCTTTTTCTGCCGCACAGGTGACCCCCAGCAACGGGTGCCATATGCCCCACGGCCCCCCAGTGCCAGACGACTAGGCACAGTGCCCTCAGGTTTGAACGGTGCAGCTTCACTCTGCTGATCACAGGAGGTCGACTGCGCACCTTCTGCTAAATCAAAAGTACGAGTAAGGAAATAAGAATTTAATCTTGCCCACTACAATCTTCATAAAGACACAGTATTTCTCTCTGAAACAGAGTTGTCTACCCATAACAGTTTGGTGGATATTGCTCACCTTGATCTCTGTTGTCAGAGATACTCTCTCCTGAGGCTGTGCTCTGAACACCTCCAGCTAAACCTCCCTGCTGGCCCGCAGCTCCCCCGCTGGTCATGCCCTGCACAGCAGTTGATGTTGCTGTAGGGGTGTGCTTTGACACTCCCCCAGTGGCTCCGCTGGCACCGTGGGTGGCGTGCTTGGAAGGGCTCTTCTGGCTGCTGGTGGCCGGTTTGCTAGAGTAAAACGAGCTCAGAGTCTGCGGCTTATGGGTCTGGCTCTCACGGTCAAGCAGCTTGTCCAGAATCTACACAAGAATCAAATGAGGCAATAATTTAAGCATGGTATCATGGCTTGTGTTTCATCGAAGCAGCAACATTCCACTCTCCCTCATGAAGATAAAACGGAAGTAACTGAAAACGCAATTCATTTACAGCAGAACAAAAAGTGTTTATGGCATGGTTCGAAAAACTATTTTGGTGTACAAGCTAATATTACCCTTTCATGACTACTGTGAGGGGAGTTTTTTATAACTCATCCGTTTCACTTTTATCAAGTTATGTTATGTTAAGTCTGCATAATTAAAGTCGTGGCCACTTGAGTGACAGCTAGGTCTCGCTGGTTGCCATTAGGTCACTTCATCTGATTCTGGCTGATTAGCCCTCGGCATATACACCATATTTTTGTTTTGTTTCATGTAGGTTTACACAGTCAATTGCCTTTCGGAATTATTTGCAACAATTATCAAATAATATGGCATGCTATGTGCACAATAATATGCCATTGTGTTCATAAACCATTCACGTGGCTTCCATTTTGCAGGCTAGTGAAATTATATACTTGTATACCATAACTATAAACATATCCTTTTTATTTAAGATCTTTTATCATTTATAGTTTTATTTTACTTTAATGCGCTCCAGAATATGCCAGATTGATTAGCTGTAGGCTATAGAACAGTAATGTGAAACGCTGTCATACAGTATTATGCCTGGATTTCATTAATAGCTTTGCATTTACTAATATAGACTATATTTGAAGCATTTGGGAGTAATTTGTATTGATCTCCTGTTAAAAATGCCATAATGCTTAGTGTCTCAATGTATTACAACAGTGTTTTTAGAGGACTAAACTCTTTATTGATATAGTACACAGCAGGTAATGAAGTATTAAGTGTTTCTTCCCCAAAAAAAGCCTGTCTAAGCAAAATGCTAGTAGGCGTCTGTAGCTCTGCTTACACACCACCTTTGCCCTTTTTTGGTAATCCCCGGTCGGGGCGATGACGCACGAATGAAATGGTGATGGTTGGCCATGCCTACTTGTAGCTTTATTTGCGCTCTTCAGAAATTGGACAATACATTCTTTTAAAGTCTATGGTTTTATCACAATAAAATGTGATTGGATAGATATATTATTGGAAGCACATTTATATTAATTATGTACACTACTTTTCAAACTTTAGGGTATACATTTAATACTTTAAGTTCCCCATTTTTAAGTTTACGTTGATGACAAACGTTTTTTTCATCAAGTCATCATATTAGAAATCTTTCTGAAAGATTGCTTACAATGACTTGCTACAATAGAAAAAATGCATCCTTAAGCATAACTTATTTAATTAATTCAACCATAAACTTTTACATTTACAGTATAACTTCAACATCACAACTAGATAGAAATCGAAGAAAAAAAAAAGTGTATAGTAACCAACCCAATAATATATTAACACAACTTTGCATTAATACTTGCAAATAAGGTCCATCAACTGTAAAAATATCCCACACATCCTACAAGATCTGTTTTTACTCCACCAAACTTTTTTATTTCAATTAAAGTTCATTAGTTTTGCAGCCAGTTTATGAATAAAACTGCATGTATATTTGCATGGTTATGTATATGCACAGATGCTTATTTGTATATGCGCTTAAATGTGGTGTCTTAAGTTTTATGCACAAGAGCAACTTTTATTGCTATATTATTATTATTATTTTAATAAAGTAAATGCAGCCTTGGTGAGCAAAAACAACGTCAACAAAAAGCAGACCTCAAAAGTTTCATACTATAGTGTGCATTTCAGTTTGTTATTCATATTTCTGAAGACTTTATGCAATTTAAACGTACAATAAATAAATCACTTTAAGAAATCTTGCCTTTTTAAGCTTGCTTTGGTCATCTTTATAGGTAATCATCAGGGCTAAAGCCAGGTCTCCTTTCTCTCTCCTTGTGCCTTCACATAACAGAGGATGTTCTGCCTCGCTGACTGTTGTCTTCATACCTGAAAAAAGAACAGACGATTGAAAAACAGACAGAAAGAAAATTTCTTCCATAACAGACATTAATAATGCTTGGTTTTGTGTTTTTTTTCCACATAAATCGACTCTTACCAAGTGCTGCTACAGCTGCCTCAAAACCCAGCTCCTCGTCACCAGGCATTTCATTGTTTCGGTTCCGGCTTGGAGGCCGAGAACCCGTGGGAGAGACCACTGCAAAAAGCAAGTGGAAAAAAAAACAAATATGAAAAACGAGCAGTGGGATACTGGGGCTTAGAGAGCATTTTTTAAAATGGTAAAATAAAAGGTGGATGTGTGACTTACCAGGGGTGCAGAGCACATCAAATATGAAGCTTGCCAGCATGAGGGGAAGAACAGGCCGATAGTCGCAGAAGTTTCCATCACGGAGCTGTTCTGCTCGGTCCCTTATGGAAGTCATTTCTACAATACCCAGAGGAATCTTCTTCAGCAGAGCCACTACCTCTGACTCCTGATATGCAAGCTTCACCTATCACAAAACAACAGTACATCAGTATTTCTAGGATTACACACAAAAAATTCACCATCATTTTGTGAAATGACAAAGACGTAACAGAACATGTGTTAAAATTTGGAAGCCTTTTTTTCTTATGTTAAAACTCTCCAGCTGGATCTAGGCTGATCACTCTTGCAAGCTATTGACAATAATAATACATCAGTTTGTAATCTTTTATTACTCAAATTGTATCATTGAGATTGTTGCATAAATATAGACATCTGCCCCACATTTAGCTGTGTAATTTTTTTTGTTATTTTATGATTATTTTCATTTATTTTTTTATTTTTTTATAAGGGTTGTTTGATATGTTTGTGAAATGTAAAAACGTAAATAAATCATAAATAAAAAGGAAGTTTTACCATCAAAATATGTTTACTTTGCAGTTGTGTCCATTTCATAGTGTAAATCATGAGTAGCCATTCCAGCTTTATTGGCTATTATACATGTTACGTTGGCTATTATACATGGCAGATATAAAATAAAATCAAAACAAACATTTTATAAAATGATTAAGATCAAAATAAATACCACTTTATAAAAGTAAATTTTAAATGTAAATTTTTTTCTTAAAAAGTTTGTCTGAAAAAAAACAAAATCAGAGTCTCAAATTTGGGCAATATATAAAATGTGATTTTCAAACTATTTACAACTCAAGTACTGACATTTTGTAAATTATAAATAATAGAAACGTGTTCAAGCACTATACTTATCTACAGGGTACATTAACTGCTAAAAATCTAAGGTTTTTCCAGTACATACAAGAAAACATTCATGACCTAATGCTTCATGTAATGTCTACTAATTTATTACAGCATATCATAAAACCTATTAAAACATATTTAGTTTAAATTTATTTTTATATCGATGTAAAATGTATTTAGATAATGCTTACAAAGCACTAATAATCTGAGGGCATGTTTTTGAGGATAGACAGAAAAGGAGTAAAGACAAATATTCAAGTATATATGTGAAAAACAACTTTTAAGGATACTATTTTAATTTATTTTATAATATATATTATATATTTTTTTAAACTAATTTCCATGACTTTTACAAAACATTGTGGGTTTTTCTGTTTTTCAAAACTTTTCCAGGCCTGGAAAACAGCATGTTAAAATTTCATGACTTTTTCAGGTTTTCCACCACTGTATAAACTCTGAATCTAAAACAATGTAATGTAAGATATAAATGTCTAAACAAACTACATCACTGTACTAACAGATCTTCAGATTGGACCACTGTGATGTCAGCTTTACCTCCAGAGCTTTAGTAGAAGCTGGCGGCCTCTGCAGCTCCAGGGAGAACATGCCAGTGTTGAAGGCCAGGTTATGGAGCTCCAGCCTCTCACTCAATACTGTCAGCAGGAAGGCTACTTTAGACAGGGTGTTGGTGGCCACCTGTGTCTGTTTAGTGGTCGACACCTTACTCTTTTTACCCTACAGAAAAACAAGAAAGATTTGTTCTCAAAGGTGAGCAGAGGTAATCGCTTTAACCTCCGGGGAAGAGGTGTAAAAGCATGTTTCAGTACCTTTGTCTGTGGCTGCTCCACCTTCAGATCAGGAGGGTTAGCCAGCAGATCTCGAGCAAGATCGACAGCTAGTCGACATGCTTCATTACTGTAGCCGTGAGCATAGAGAGCCTCTGCACAGGCAAACAGAACCTGCAACACACCATTAGACCATTTTAAATAATTTGAAATTCAGTAAAAAAAAAAACATCAAAATGACTTTTGATTTATGAAAAATAAAATTAGTTTTCAATTCAAAGGAATAAAACTGGTCCAAAAATTAGGATACATATAATAACTTGGGTAAAATGTGTTGTAGCATTTTTTTCATAATATTTAGATTTTTCGTAATACTTCTGTACAGAGCATATGTATAAGGTCTGATGTAGCCCTAACAAAGTCACATACCCTCATACGCACCTCTCAAAATATTTGACTATGTTAAGCTGGTATAGCTGTAATGAGTGTAGCATAGAAACCCCACTGCCTACTAGTATTTCAGTAGTATTATTGCAGAGCAAAGCAGACAAAATGCAGTATAAATGCTTGCAACAGGCTTGGTAGAAATGAAATCAAAGAAAAAAAAAGAAAAAAAAAACACTAAGACCATATCTATGAGTGTATTATTACAAACAGGATTTGCCCTGCTTTTGTTTAAAAAAAAAAAGAAAAACTCTACACATGAAAATGCAAAAATGCACTGTGATGCATGTAAAGAGCACAACGAACCAACATGAGGCAATAATGACACTTTTATGCTGGGTTTACACCAAAATTGCAAAAAAAAAAAAAAAAAAAAAAAAAAAAAAAAAAAAAAAAATCTATGCAAATGTCAGAACCGTGGTGTAATGCAAGTGAACAACAAAAAATGTGATGCGTTTGCAGCAAATGTGCAGAATTTTGCCTCATTTCAGTCTTTTGCATTTGGTGTGAACCCAGCCGTGTTGGTCAATTAGACAGGAGAAAACGGCACGCACGCTGACATCATGAGGTTAAAACTCTGGTTGTAGTGTCCATACTGTACCTGGACTTTTGAAAAAAATTTCACCCTGGCTGGAGTTTTTAGAAAGTGTTGGTTTAAATCACTTAACACTGTGTTTTGAGTGCACAAATAGTGAAATCATTTAGAAAAAAAAGATGTTTTGAAAATACTTGTGTACAGGACCTAAACCAGGAGTGACCAACCCTGTTCCTGGAGCATCCCAAATGGCACACTATACACTTATGCACTATGTACTTATGCACTTACATACTCAACAGCATAGTATATGAACGTAGTGTCATCCCATAGGGAACAGTAATGTTTTCTTCTTAGTGGAAATTCAAACCGTTTCCCAGATGATGTTTGCCAAATTGGTGAAATAAATAACCAAACTACCAAGTAATACGTGCCATGAGTACAACCGCATTCGCCATCGGGAGGTATTATAGACTACTTTTCCATGGACATCAGTAATTAAATTATTTGCTATAATCTAATTAAGAGAATAATAAGACTAAGGTGGTTACAGAAGCTGCTTTTTGAGTGTTACTTTCAAAATCCCATATTACATGTTATGGCATATAATTCGATTAGCATCATTGAGTCACCGCGCAATCTGCATTTCCTCTGGAGTTTCATGCAATTTGGGATGTTTCATTTTTAATTTGTCGACTTTAACTACAGTTGGGCACTTTCACTTTCATTCTCGAACATTACATGCACGCCCTCAGTGACAAACAAGATATTGGATGAAACTATGAACTGCTGGAAGAGTTATATTTTAATGGAAGCTCATACCGCAAGCTGATTGGAAGAAAAAAAAAAACTCAGCACTTCATAATGCAGGTGTCTGTGGTCTGCACTGGTTGGGTAGGTAACAGAGTGTCAAACAGCTGTGTGTGTGTGTGTGTGTGTGTGTGTGTGTGTGTGTGTGTGTGTGTGTGTGTGTGTGTGTGTGTGTGTGTGTGTGTGTGTGCATGTGCATGTGTGTGTGCGTGTGTAAGTGCATGTGCATGCGTGCATGCACTATCCTGTAGCAAAAAGCGGCGAAAAGTCCTACATGTGATAGTAGTTTGATTAAGTAGTTCGGTAATAGTTCAATTTATGTGTTTACATGCCTGATCTGCACATCAATAATGCAATTAAAATCAGCATACTCTACACGTTTTAACTCGATTTCTCTTTAGTTTGATTATAACCTTATTCTGATTAATCAAAAAAATCGCTGTTTACATGGTTAAATCTTAATGAGAGTATTGTCTTAATCGCATTAAAATCGAATTACTGATGTCACTGACCCATGAACATTTCCTGCTTGTTATCAAACTATTTCATAACTGTAGGCAATTCAATCATAAATTCATGTTAAAACGGCCATCATAACATTATCAATGTGTTGCTCTTTTGGGATTCTCAGAAGCTACAGAAATTTAAAATGTGAAACAGGAAATACTTTGGGACCATTGTTTCTGTTTACATTCCTCAAAAGGGTCTATAAATCACTCTCATAGCAGAATTTTGCTTTAACAATCTAAAATAAATAAAGCGATTCAACATGAGCACCCGATAGCTTCGTCCCTTCTTCTACGTGAGCAAAGCAGTGGCTGTTGAGTAAGTAAAGTGTTCAACAATCCACACTTCTTTTTAAGGGTTAAATAAGTGCATCATCCAGGTAACTAAAGCACTTTTTTGAAGCACTTTTACACCATTTTGTAGTATAAATAGTGTATAAATATGCGATTTGGGACGCACCTTCAGTTTCAACCCGTGTCACACACACCTGCCAGTAATTATCAAGTGCTGTTGAGGTCCTTATTAATAGGTTAATGTGTTTGATTAAGGTTGGAGCTGAACTCAGCAGGAAGGTAGATCTCCAGAAACAGGGTTGAGCACCTCTGCACTAAAACTATAATATCAATAGATTAGATAGATAATATCTATATTAACAAAATACACAAAATAGGAAAAAATAAAAAAATAAAAATAAATAAAAATAAATAAATAAAAATCAATTTAAAAATTACAATTAAAAATCACACAAAAAATACTTAAACCAGTTGTTTCCATCTACCTCTGATAAATTTAAGTTCTTAATGAGTCATTAAGTAATTAGATGCAGCATGCATTTAGATTTGTCAGTGTTCATTTTGCACCCTACTTTGACAAAATCTCACTTTATGGAAAAAATAAATAAATAACATTCACCTCCATCCTGCCTTCTTGCTCCAGAGGTTTAATCCCAGCAAATATGTCTGGCTCTTCCTCATGATTGCTGTCTGCAACACCTCTTTCCGCTCCCTCTTCTGAAGCAGCACTGAGGTAATACGCTTGATAGTCATCTTCACCCACAGCATCTGCACCTGCTGCAGCTTCAGCCACCTGTGGCCCAGGGGCGCCTGAAGCCCCGGCTCCATCTCCCTCTCCGTGGCCACGCTGAGCCTTACTGGGAAGCGAATCAGAAGGCCCAGCATCATCTATAACATCCTCATCTCCTCCATTCTCATCCAGGTCTGCCTCCACTTCCACCTCTTTCTCCATAGCAGCCACTACCGGGGCTGCAATAGAGCTCTCCTTTGAAAAGCAGGCATGGGCATCAGCTGCATGTGGCACACGTTTCGTCTCGAAGGCACGCTCTTTTGAATTACTGCTGTACTTTAGTGGCTTTTGGAGCAGCGTGCTCGGTGAGGGCAACATCTCAGGAGGAGGAGGAAGAAAATCAAAGGTGTTGCAGGCCTCTGCTCCAAGTGCCATGCTGGAGCCATCATCCAGATTCAGTTCTGCCATGTCAGGCTCTAAAGAACTGTCTTCACTGCTGGTTCGCCGCTTAGCACTGGGATGCTTCCCGCTGACGCCACTCGAACTTCCACATGAGCCCTTGCTGCTTTGTGTTAACTTGGCTTTAGTACCAGCTGATGGGGAAGAGTTAGTAGTTTTATACATGCTTTTACTTCCATCAGGAAGTGAGAGAGGAACTCTGCTGCCCAGACAAACCAGCACACTCCCACTGTTCACATTCGACACAACTTTCCTCTTGCTCACAATGGTCTCCTTGGGGCGCACGGCCACCTCCTGCTGGGGAAGATGGGAGTTGCTCCGTGATTTGTGCTCTAAGGAATTGCCTTCTGATGTCCCACTGCGAGCTCCTTCTCCTGCTTCGCTGCTGTTTATGGCTTTCAAGCCCCGCTGCTGCTGCATGGCCCTGGCCCAACAAAATGAAACGTTTTTCTTATCTGCGTTGCAATATGTGATGCCAGGTAAAGGGTACGCCACTTCCCAGTTGAAGTAGCAACACTCCACAGCTGGTTTGAAGCCTTGGAAGAGTTTGTCGAGAGATTTGCGGTGCTGCCCCCGTTTCACAATCTCGATCACCTTCAGGTGCCACTGCTTTAGTTGGGCAGCAAGTTCCAAACGCCTGAGGAGTTACAAATAGAGAAGTAAAAACATTGTTTTACTTGAGCGATAACAAATACAGCCCCAAATCCTTCAGCTGAGCCATTCAAAATCAGTGCTGAGTTTGATTTAGAACAGGTATTCTCACAGTTGCTCATGAAGAGTTTAGATTCAACTTTGGTCAATCCCACCTGTCTGCAACTTTAACAATAATCCTGAATACCTTGATTAGCTTTTCTTGTTCGTTTGACTAGGGCTGGAACTCAACTCTGCAGGAAAGTGGACCTCAAGGGCCAGAGTTGAAAATCCCTGTTTTAAATCAAAGTCACAAACACCACTAGTTCTTTAAACGTTTGTGAAACCCTCGAGTACCTTTTTTTAAGTAAATTACAGATTTCTGTTGAGCATCAATTAAGAAAACTTTAGCACTTGTCAGCTTTAATTGTGGGGAAAACTTACAGTTAAGTTTTTATCAGCTAATTTAATCTTCTCAGTTTAAAATAATTTTTTTAATATTTGACAGCAGAGTTTTTTTTATTCTATGTGAATAGCCTATTTAAGGGAAGGCAGACCTGCCAAGCTGTGAGACCGCTTCCGTGCAGGGCATGCAATATTTAGCAGTTCATGAAGAGTTATTCCTGCGATGCTGTCGGGATCGATACAGCAAAGCTGTTGGTTTGCAGCAAGCATTTTTGTCATGGGAGCTGTACAAGAATTGGAGAATGGCGGACTTTGTCTTCTAACAGTTGAGTTTGTTACCATTCAGACACATCTCTTATATTCATGCATCTGTTTACCTATGTTTAAAATCCTCCAGATTACCAGCAGGGCTAATGATTGAAATACACATGCCAAGAGACCTGCTGCATTGCTTCACTCCTCATTTATAGTTTTATGTAACCATGATTATCTTTATAATGATATAACAAATTATATAATATGTATTATATATAATTATATAGGTTATGATTATAAGAAATTCCGAATAGCATATGTAGCAGGGCATTAAATTCTTACTGTTTATTTCTTTGCATTTTACATTGGTAAACTGTAAAATTATGGGTCTCCTCACGGTTTGTCTCATTTTGTTGTTTGCTCCCCCTTTTTTTTTTCCCCTACTCTGCCGGCCACACCCACTTCTCCCTCTGCTCACAGGGCTCCACGCCCATCATAAAGCATTTTTTGAAAAAATTCTCAAGTAGAGTTGAACTGAAAGAGGGGGGGTTATGGCCCTTTAAAGGGTCACGAAACACCAAAACACATTTTTTGAGCTATTGACAGTCGTATATGTGTCCCACACTGCTAAAAACACTATTAGGACACCTATATTTCACTAAAAAGTGTAAATTGGTTGTTTTTGCGTTATTTCAAGCAAATTCGTACTTCCTGTTTGAAACGAATTTTTGAAGCTGCGTCACGGTCATGACATAATAGCGTGTATTCCAGCGTGCAGACTGGGCGTCTGTGCCAGAGTGTGCCTTATTACGTCTTACAGTGTGATGCATTAATGCATGAGTAAGCCTTGGTTCAAACCAATCAGCGCGCTCTATTGTGCAACTTCATTAATATTCATTAGTGTCACCGTCTTTACACCACAGAGACGCCACGTTGTGTTGGCAAAACAAGCGTGAAGTGTTGCTTTTAAATTTTGCTGCAGTTAAGTTTCGTTTTCATTTTCTCTCTGTGAGAGCTCAGACTCACGTGTGGATTAACAGTGTACGCGACGCGCGACAACAATAACTTACGTGTCTAAGGAGGATTATTGTTTACCTGAGAGCTGTTCTCATCTGCAAACGCTGAGATCCGGATTCCGGATGTAGTCTTCTCTTCAGACGCGGCTCTAGTTGCTGGTGATTGTTCTGTCTCTACAGATTTGGTAAGTGAGCGACCAGTGCTCTTTGTTTATTCAGTTTGTTCGTTTCGAATTAAGTTAACTATTGCACTGAGGGCAAACATGTTAGCACCGCATTTTGTGACCGGAATAACACACGCGGCTTTCTGACGTTACCTGCCGTGTGCGTCTAAGTTTCCGGGAAATGCGGAGTTTTTTTTCTGTCATTCGCCGTGCGGTATCAAACATTGCATGAAAAATACACGCTTAGAGCAGATCCTCGAATCAAATATCGCGTTTGTCGCGAGGGACATGAATGAATTCCCTGAATGAAAGAGCCAAACTGCAGTTAAAGTCCACCAGTTAATAATTTGGCAAATAATTCCACTACAGATGTCCATGTAGGTTAAACACCATCTCTTTCTCCTGTGTGTGTATTTTGACTGAAACTCGCGCGTGCCCAAATAGACACTCCCACACCCTCCCACTTTAGTTCCTCCGACACTCCCCCCTAAACAGAGCTGGACACCCCCACTTTTCTGACTTTTTCCAAAGTGGAGGTGTGAAAACACCCTGCTGAAACGAGGGGGTTTCATGGCCCTTTAACCAGGTGTTAAACTTGCTCACCTTTGGGGACTCATGGTTGGGTCTAGCACTGCCAGCCTCCACAAGACAACCATTTCATCACACATACTGGCACATGCATGTGCTGCGACTTCTGTCTGCCCATTACTGCGACCTGTGTGCCCGCTGGCACTGCTGTGAGAGGCTGATGTTCTTACACTATACCACCAGCCAATAATCTGGAGAAAGAACAGACAAAAGTCAACAATGAGGACTCTAATGAACAGAGAAAAACAGAAATCAGTGTAGTATAAAACACTAAAATGCTCAGCTGATGCTATAATTTCTTTAAAATAAATGTGGGATGAATTCAAATATCATTCACTTGTGGTCTCCACATTTTATATTTAATGTTTTACGACATATAATTCCACAAAATAAAGCTTTGTGAAAACATGTTACACACGCATACATATAATTATTTACACACACATAACAGTTTTCAAGAAAGCAATAATCTAAAATATAATCTTAATATGTCAAAGTGCACATACTAAATATTAAGTTATGGAATGCAACATTTAAGGTGCTGACAAACATTTGACTGTAAACATACTGCTAGCGCTTTATTTCACAGTTCTGCTTCCCACAGACATACTATTTAGTTATCATAGTCATTACATAAACTGTAAAATGACTGGGTGCTATCCTAAACCATAAATAGATAGTTCACCCAAAAATTTCCTCACCATTTATTCACAATCAAGTAGATCTAAACAGTTATGATATTCCTTCATTCTATCTGTTAAACATAAAACAAGATTTTCTGATTTATTTGGGGATGCCATTGACATCCATATTAAGTACAAGTAAAATACAGCTACTATGGGATTCACTGACTGTTTTTTTTTCAGCATTCTTCAGTATATCTTCCTTTAAGTTCAACAGATGGTTTAGAACAAGTCGAATACGAGTAAATGATTATAATTTCTATTAATAAATAAACTATCCCATTAACCTATCCAGCTACCTTATATATATATATATTATATATATATATATATATATATCTTTTTTAAAGTTAAGCTGACATACTGTATAATAAAGTGCAACCAACGCAACTATGAATTTGTTTTGGCCTTAGTGCAAGCATAAATGTGACAAGTGTTTGCATCAGAATAAATGAATGAATGAAGTGTTGCTGAGTCAGAAATTGTACCTGTTCGTGGGTGAGACACTGTTCGGTGAGGATTTCTAACAGAGGTGCAGCGTTACTGTCTCGCCTCTTAAACATCTCTCTGACGATGGACAAAAGATTCCAGATGCCCTCTGGCTCTCTGCCTCGCAGGGGCCTCAGCAGACAAGCCCATTCAGCAGCTGCCGGAGGCTCAGTGGACGACAGGTACATGGAGTTCACATCACTGAGAACAACAAGAGACCGAAGGAACAGTTAGTTCTGTCTGTTGTGCTTCTAACATATAGGTGTGTATAAACAGATACTTCTTAGTGTGATATTTACCTAAACACAACAGGTGAAGGGCCACAGAATTTGTGCAGGGTCTTCTTTATGTTGTCACTGAGGGTGGACTCATCTAAATACCAGGTGCTCTGGTCAGAGGCTGAAGGGCCAGCAGTAGGATCTGTTCAATCAATCGTCAGGAAAAAACAAAAAGGAAGCACATGGTGTGCATTTTTTTTTTTACAAAGAATGAGAAAATAGACATTTATTAAATGCGGTTTGTAGGTCAGTACATACCTGGGGCTCCACACACGGTGTTAATAGCGGTAGACTGGGAGGATAGAAGCTCATCCAAAAGACGCTGAGCAGTCGGCAAGATCTAATCCAACGCATCAAAAATAAGGTCATAAATTAAAACAGAATTAGAGACTGTAAATCATCTTATAAAAGGTTTTGTTTTGAGATTTTTGTTATGAATAGATTTTATTACTGTTCATATTAAATTTAAAAATATATGAACACACACACATACACACACACACACACACACACTACACACACTACTACATGGAATCATTTTATTAAAATAAGCAATAATGTACACTACTGGTCAAAAGTTTAGGGTCAGTTTCTTTTTTTTTTCAAGAAAATTATTCTGTTCATCAAGGCAGCATTTATTAAAATGTAAAAAATTGTTAATTTGTAAAATATTTATTACAATTTTAAACAACTGCTTTTTTATTGTATGTAGTTTCCAATTAAATTATTACTTCCGGTCATTATTGCTTTTATTACTTACATTTTTAACAATAATAACAATAATATTATTAATAAAAATAACAACAATAATAAATATAGCTGCAAGCAGCAATTATCGGGGCAAAGCAGCCCAGCGGCCACATCATAAACAAGAACGGCAACAAGCTACAGAGGAACTGGAAAATTCTATAACTTTTTGGTAGCATGGTCTGAGCCAAAATTGGTGGTAATTGGGCTAACAATTTATGGACAGTTCAAAACAACAGATTTTCAAACTAATTCAAGATGGTGGAAAGGAAGTTGTGTAAAATAGGGAATAAATTACATCAATGTTCACATATCAATGATACAAGGAATCTGCAAGAGCAGTTTCATGACAACAGACAAAACTGTAGATCTTTTGATCAAATTTTGGTGAAAAATTGGACAAACGGCCTAGAACGAATTCGTTTAAACAGGATTTGCAAAATTCTAAATGGCGAAAAAAAGTAATGACGGAAAATGACATCATAGGGTGCATTTGAATCGGCTGAAACATTTTGATTGTAACCCATTTGGTTCAAAAGTTATAACCATAGACATAAGTGAAACTTTGGAAAAGTGGTGGCCCTAGAGATTGATTTTGAGATTTAAGATTGCATAAATGCCGCAAATGGTTCATAGGGCTGCCATAGACTCCCAGCACTAAAGAAGCTGGAAGAATAATAATAAGAACTAGAACAGATACAATATTAGTATATTGTATTAATACTAGAGTGATTTATGAAGGATCATGTGACTTTGAAGACTGGAGTAATAAAGATGAAAATTCATCATTAAAATCACTGGAATAAATTATTAAATTACTATAAATGTACTATAAAACTACTTTTGAACAGTTATTTTATAGTGGAATAACATTTCACAATTTTATTATTTGTACTGTATTTTTGATGAAATAACGCAGCCTTGGTTAGCAGGAGAAGCTCATTTTAAAACATTTAAAAATCCTACTGACCCCAAACTTTTGACCGGTAGTGTGTATATTAAAATTATGACAACATTGCTCATGTATGTTAAATATTAGAATGTATCACTCAGATACAGGTTATTGTTAACCTTTTCTTATTACACCAATTATTTACAGAACCAAACCCAAGACATGTCCACAGAACCATGATATAAACCAAACTGTGTGATATCTGAGCAGCAACACCCTAATAAGGACAATGAGGCCACAGTGTGCACTTCATCACTGCTATTAAGGGCTGTGCAAAGATGCTTCAGACCAAACAGAAACTGCAAAAAATATACAAAAAAAAACATCTCCACAATTTAGAAGAACAAATAAATCATTCCTGCCTCACCTGCTGTGGAAGTTCACTGATGAGGTATTGTGCAAACTTCTGGAGTTGATCCCGTTGTAATCTGGACAGGGACTCAGACACAGGTGCTCGAAGACACACGGCAGAAGCCTATAGCCAAACACACGCCAAGAATCAGATATTTGAAGTTGACACTGTAGAACTGAAAACAAACTCCACTGGTTTAACTCCTATCCACTAGTGCAAACTAAACCTGGAGCAGGCTGCTCATTAGCAAACACTGTGCATTTCTAATGTGTCTGGGGGCTTTGATGCCTTCAGGTGGCTGTCCCAGTGTGCAGTCACCTGGTCTCCACCATGGGCAGAAAACCCCTCATTTGCAAATGGCCCATGCATAATATATGAGCCCCAGATACACATGCTTTGAGCCGATCAGAGCTAATTCTCTCTTTAGCTCATAGTGAGGTTATTAAAGAGAATGCAGAATATCCTGTGGGGGCTGCGCTGTGAGCTACTGGAGTGAACGGTGTTGGCCGTGTCTGAGAAATGGAGGTTGGGAAAAGAGGAGGAAGGATGAAGGAGCGAGCTGGAGAACTGCACTGAGGAGGAAGATGGAAACGCTTGAGATTCCTGGACAGCACCCATAAAAAGCAGAGTGATCAGAGATTAGCCACGTGGCTCAGAGAGATTATGTACACTTCCATATCAGATCGATTTATCTGCAGATATTTTATACTTAATAGCTGCATTTCGATTTTCGTGCCTAAAGCAATCAAGACAAGTGCATGTCTGGGCCAGTTCTGTTTCCATAGTAATTTTCTGGGCCTTATTGGGCATTGTGAAGGCTTCCTCAGAGCCAACGGCCAGGCTTTTTCAACCAGCCAAATACCTTGGGCCAAAGTGGGCCAGCTGGGGATTTGGAGCAGGGAGAAAGGTAAATATTCAACACAGGTCCACAAAAAGTGATAGAGAGACTACTCGTGACACAATGCCAAAAAACTTAAATACAGTTACTCCGTAAACAAAAGAAAATTAATTTGTACACACATACACACTCACCGGCCACTTTATTAGGTACACCTGTGCAACTGATTGCTAATGCGAATTTCTAATCAACTAATCACATAGCCTCAAATTAATGCATTAAAGCTTGTATACATGGTCAAGGCAATCTGCTGCAGTTGAAACAGAGCATCAGAATGGGGAAGAAAGGTGATTTAAAAGACTTTGAACGTGACATGGTTGTTGATGCCAGACAGGCTGGTCTGAGTATTTCAGAAACTGCTGATCTATTGGGATTTTCATGCACAACCATCTCTAGGGTTTAAAGAGAAAGGTCAGAAAAAGAGAAAATATCCGGTAAGCGGCAGTTCTGTGGGCGCAAACGCTGTGGATTTATCTGTTCAAACTGTTCAGTAACATGTAATTGAGAGGTGTTCTTATTGTGGAGTTTCCATGCTGTACTAAGAGCAATTGGCCCTAAATTATTGTTCAAGCTCTGGGGGTATTGACCAAGGCCGGCCCAATTTAAGCCCTGGCTCGCACTGGCTGGAAAGTGGAAAGTCGGTTTTAACAAAAAGTTTTCTCAAAAAATAAAACTGTTAATAAATAAATAGTGTTTTCAAATTTTATTTTCCATAAAGTTGTGGTCATAAGTTCATACACATCTTGCGAAATGTTAAACTTAACAAAGAGGCATCATCAACATGTCAAACTAACATCAAAATGTGTATATGGCATTTTGCAAAATAAACAATTTCCCAAAACAGATGTTTACATCTACTCCACTCAAAAGATTAAGTCATAAAAATGATACTGTTGTGTACATAAATGTACATATGTTTGATTCTTCATACTTTACTTTGTGTCATTATCTGTATAATACTATTTGGTTTTCTGATAGTTCTTTGTAAATCCACTGCTGTCCTCAACACTTAAATTATTTTCATCATCATCTTCATTATTACAATTATTATTAGATTCTGTAAGGTTCTGTGAAGTAAACTTTTTTCTAAACATGACTGAATGGTCGCAATAATATTGGAAGGGTTAAATATTTTTATTATTAAAAATACAATTTAGAAAGAATTTAGTTAAAGACGGATAACTCTGCAATCGATCAACTCATCGATACAACTATTTAATGGCTTCCTGTACTTTAACCTCATAAGATCCAAGGTATTTTTTTACATGCGTTTTTTTTATTTCTCTTTGCTATTTGGCCTTATTGGAACCTGATTAGAATAAAAATCTGAGTATCATCTTTTGACATGACGTACTTTTAGAAAAATCATGTCCATATATGTGGACTCGTGGTCCGAATTTATTTAAAACACTTTTTCCTGACTGTTTTTTAATGCTTTCATAATATACAATATTTTTGAACATGTTTTGACTATCAAAGAGTAAAAACAACTTTTTTCCCATTTTGGACAGTTAAAAACAGTGTTTGGGACATTTTATATGCTGCAAAACAGTTGCAGGATGACGCTGTATGTCTGTAACAAAATATTAAGCATTCAAAGTATTTTAAATAGCCACTTAAGAGCTCAAATGTGCAATCCATGTATGTGGCCACTAAAGCCCTAGGAGTTTAAATATAAGCGCAGGAAATGTCACACAAACACACCCATATAGACTACAAAAAAAACATTTAGCTTAACCATTGTAACAGCATACTCCTGGCCAACTTTAGGCAATGCAATACTATACATAGGAGCTTTAAATTCTTGCAATATTTGCCAACACACACAAACAGAAAATGTGAAAAGTGCTGTAAAAAACGCACTGTTATTAAAACTGGCTAAAAGCCATTCAGGCAAAGGTTAACCCTGCAATTACCATAGTGTTTACTATTCCAAAGCAATTTGTGGGACAACTTTTCGTTCATTTTGGTCACAATTAAAATATTTTCAATAAAGTTAGAATGTATTTAATGCAAGTTGCAACCAGCATAATTTGGTAGATTGGATGCACTGATGCACCACATAAACCACACAAGCCCACTCAAATAGTTAAAGGGCACAAAAAAGATAAAGAAGTAGAGGTCTAAAAACTGACATGCACATTTGGTCATGACAGCAAGTCTCTTTAGCTACTAAATATACAGCATAATTAAGTAGCATGAATTTCTGTTAGAATTCAATGTCAGAAACTTTCATGTCAAGTTTCACTAAAGCTTTAGAAAAGGTCTGCAGCAATGCATCACACTTTGTGACAATCTTGAGTAGGTGGGCTAAATGTCAAGCCTGAAGTATTTGAACTTCAGGCTGTGATGTTAGGGAACGATAACTAATCTCCTCAGACACTGCCACCAAAACGCAAAGCAGCGATTGAAGAGATACTACAGCAAGATATCAACATTTAAGTGCCAATGATTTATTGAAATTCCTGTGCGGCTGATAAAGGTCTCATAGCACAGCATAAGATAATGCTTATTCAACTTGCAATAGCGGAATCAATACTGGAGCTGCTTGCAATGGATATGACTGCACAATGGTGATTGGTGTATAAAGAGAATACATTCTCAAAGCTGCTTGCCAAGAGGCCGTTTATAATAAGACAAGTCTCAGGTTGCAAACACTTCCTGATAGAGTCTTATTCTCCTCATTCTTTCCTTTTCCAACCTTATTTCTAGCATCATTTCCAAGAATCAAAACGGAAGATTTGTATATTTATTATTTATGAGCACACCACGCAAGAATGTTTATGTAAATCAGTTGGAAATGAACAGGGCTGCACAGTGATCACTGGTGCATTAGAAAATTACATTCTAAAGGCTAAGATACAAGACAGAAAGAATACAGATATGAGCAAGTGTCATGTTGCAATTGCAAACACTTCCTAATAGTCTAATTCTTCCCATTCTCGAATTTACAACATCATTGTCCAAAGGAATGCAGTGGATTTCTAGCATCGTTTATGAGAAGCCAAAAAGGAGAGTTGTGTATTTATTATTTATGACCAAATTAAGTCATGCAAGAAACTATATGCAAAATAAGTTTGGAATAATTTCCCCTAGCAGCAGCAAACACAAGACAAAGCCCACATGCAAATGCTAAATGCCACCCACGGCCCGGGCCGCCAAGTCTATCTGACTGTGGCAGGGCCTCCTACGGGGGGGTGGGATATCACAGCAGAGCAGATCCTTGCCTCCACCCTCCTGACTCCACAGGGAGGCATCAAACCTAATCAAAAGCTTCTCAGTGCTCTTACGCCCACGGTCAACTCCACACAGATAGAAACCCAGAGACACATCGGTGAAATCTTCCCCAGATACGTCCATCTCAACCAGGCCATTGTGCATATTAAAATTCTAGTTTATACTGTTGATTCTGGTCAAAACTGTTGCCTTAAGTAGTTGGCTTTTATTAATGCGTACATTTTTTTTTATCTTAAGGGAAAGTCTTCGAGGATGCTGCAAATGGAGTTGTGGTGTTTGTTTAATCAACTGGCACAAAGATATTATTTTCTATTTTAAAGGGTCACGAAACACCAATACGCATTTTAGAGCTGTTGACAGTCGTATACGTATTCGTTCTTCCGGTTTAAAACAGATTTTCAAAATCTGCAACACGCCGATTAGATCCTTGAGTGTATTCCAGCGTATAAACTGGCTGTCTGTACCTGTGAGTACTTTGTGACGTTTCTGAGTGTGCTGCATTCATTTATGAGAAAGACTTGGTTCAAACCAATCAGCGCGCTCTATTGTGTATGCGGTGCAACTTCATTAATATGCATGATAGCTTCAAAGACTGTTTACCTGAAACAGTGTTTAGACTGCAGAGAGCCGACACGTTGTGTTGCCAAAACAAATGGGAGAAGAATTGTTCGGAGATATGAGTCGTCAGAGTTGCGTTTTTAAATGTGCTGCAACTAAGGTTTTGTTTTCATTTTCCCTGCAATGAGAGCACAGCTGGACTACAGTGCACGTGGCAAAAATACATTATTATGAAACGTTTTTTTACCCGAGAGCTTTTCGCATCTGGAAATGGTGAAATATGGATTTGCTGCTCGTCTCCTTTTAAAATAGACGCGGCTCCAGTTGGTGTTGATTGTTCTGTCTCTATAAATTTGATAAGTAAGCGATCAGTGGTCTTTGTTTGTTTATTCAGATGGCAAAGTTAGTTCGTATCAGCAGTAATCTTTCAGTGTTTAAAGACATACCTTAGTTAAAATGATTTCTAAGTCACTTAGTTTACAGTACGTTAATATCACTACAATATTATGGACTGAAAGATCTGCTGTAAATGCTGCTCTCCGAGTGTAAACATGTAAACACCACAATCAAACTATTACCGACCATCATGTTGAATTTTCGACGCATTTTGTGACAGGATAGTCTACACACACACACGATTTTCTGACCTACCGAGTGCATCTGAGTTACCAAGAAATGGTGAGTTTTTTTTCTCGTATACGACATGTGGTATCAAACATTCCACTGTCATTAAACACAGTCACTGTATTTTTCCCCTGCGCCTGTGTGTTTGTTTTGCCTCGGTGAAAATCAGCGCGTGCCCAAATGGAAACTCCCATTTTTATTCAAATCTTTTCCTCTTTCCTCAAGCTAGACAAACCCACTTTCCTAACTTTTTTGCAACCTAGAGGTGTGAAAACACCCTGCTGAAAAAGGGGGGTTTCATGGCCCTTTAAGCTTTACATTTTTGTTCTCAGACAAAATTTCAGACTGTTTAATTTTTATCTTTACAAAAAAAAAAAAAAAAAAAAAAAATCACAATTAAAAACACAAAATGAAATAGTGCAAATGAACAAACATTAAGTAACTGATGCTAATTAATTGTTTTTTTCTTCAACATATAATCACTGTTAATTTCATTCACAATTTGTCTTTTTTTCACTGATGAAGCTTAATTTTTAATTAAAGGTTTTGCCAGAGGAAAAATGGTCGTGCCTAACTGAGCATGGTTAGTCTCAAGATTTTTTTCCTTCACTTTCATCAATTGGTAAAGTTTGTTCCTCGCCACTATCGCAACTGGCTTGCTTAATTTGGGATTTGTGGAGCTGCGCATCGAGGGATTTCCTCTTCAGTGTTTGGACTTTCAGCAGTAAAAAAATCTACACTGAACTGAACTAAACTAAACTGAACTCTGAAAACCAGACTGACACAGTGTTAATTTACTAGAATTTCAATTAACTGACCACTATGTTGAGCTGCTTTGACACAATCTACATTGTAAAAGTGCTATATAAATAAAGATGAATTGAATCGAATTTGTAATAAACAAAAATCAGAAAATTTTTGTCATAGATTATGTTGTGTAATAGTTTTCGTCATTTAATACAAACTGCTAAAGAAAGTGTTGCACATGCACAAATAACCCCTTGCTTCTGTGTTCAAAATTGAGGTAGACCCAATGATTTGTTAACCAAAAGTCAGTATGAGAATCTCCTTACATTGTGAATCCTGAAGAGGCAGAGGGCCACGACATGGGCACACCATTTGGCTCCTGCTCCACAGGTACAGCTGCAGGAAGTGATGCGGCAGCGGTCAAACATTACAGCCACATTGTAGGCTCCTTTTGATTGGCCGGCCTGAGGCGACACTACTGTGGCACTGAGGTGGAAACCTGTTTCAGAGAACAAAACAAACATGTCAGTGCTAAAGACTCAAATTCCTCACGATCTGGACAAAATGTACTGTGCAATTCATGCTTGCTAAACACTATTTACAATGAAAACACTGTTTATTTATGTCAAAAGGCTTTTTTTTTTTTTTTTACTTTTGGCTTAATGTATAAACGCAATAAAATAGACTCCATTAAGTTCACAGAATTGTGCAATGAAGTTAATTTATTTTTGCTTCTAATGATTATAAAAATATAATGTAAAAGTTGAATAATGATTGTACAGTCTAATTTTATAACTGTGTACTAAAGCAATTACCTAGATCACAACATTGCCAAAGACCATTTAAACATTCCATTAAATAGAAGATTTTTTTAATTGGATGATTCAATAAAAAATAAAGACATCTTTCATTAATGGAAGAAATCAATATATTTGATTATCAATCTCTTGTATATAATTCAAGGACATGTGTTTTTGATAGTTTACTTGTCACCATCTGTAGTCCAAAAACGGCATTTTAGTGGTCGCCAAAATACCAGCATGCATTCGAGCCAATTTCTTCATCAGATTAGTTACTATCTATACAGAACACAACCATCTCATCTTTATTCATAAAATGCCCAATTCCAATCTGCTCCAAATGAGATGGTCTTGTTTGCCAATTTGTTGTCCTGCATTGTTAAACGGTGTGTGTTTTTGGTCTATCATTCACCATCTAGGGAGGTGTTTTGTGCACCTCAGGTAAACCCGGGCCAGAGCTTGATCTTTTTGCCTTTCTAATATCTTATGGTTTAGCTTTGGATAAAAAAGGAGGTGGATCTTAGAGGTCTTTCTCTGCCAGCAACAGTTCGCCCATGGCCACAGTGCCACATATTGCTTACCATAATTTGCAACTTTAGATTAGGGGGAGCCCCAACCTGTTTCTGTTTCTATCTATTATGTTTTCTGTCCTCCCGGACTTCCATTTATCCCAGAGACATTACCCATTAAGGTACTTTCAAACGTTTTTTGAAAATTTAAGTCCTGGTCAGATCACACAATTTTGTCACAATTTTCCGTGACGTAGGGTGTCGTGGGGAGTTGTAAAAGTCAAATGGGCATTGTAACACAAAATTAAATAATTTCTTCTCATGTAATATGGCATAGTTCACGATGACTGATACCATGTCTGCGACACCGCACAACACCATAGCAGAAAATCTGGCATGTTTCATTTTTTGCCCGATCTTCGCGATAAATTCTGTCATGTGGGTGCCATTGGACAATAGGAGGACATAATTTCTCAGTTATATCTGCAGGTACTGCCGGTAATCCTAAGGTCAGGTAATTAAAAAATAAGCTGCATAATTACCTATGGGTGGGTCTGGGTAAGATCAATAATTGGTTATGCAAATTTTAACTACTTTCTCTGAAATATTAAAGTGTTTTAAGCCATTTTATTTGACAGATTGGCACAAATATGCAGACATCTCCATTCTCAAAACAGTTTTTGAGTTCTCTCTTCCAACAGAGTTAGTTCTTCCAAGGTAATCTGGAAATACGTTTAGTGCTGACAATTTCTTTGGAAAACCCTGTCTTGCTTATTTAAATAATTTGATTAAAATTAAATAAATTGAAACTGACCGGCGCAATGGATGATTTTGTCATCAACAATGAAAACAGTTTAATAAAAGTTTATCTGAAACTTGGAATATTTCACTTTATTTTTATTTGGCTAGAATTTATTTTATTTAACATACCAGTTTGTGCTTTTGTGCTATATTCGCTAAAGCATATAGCGGACTGGTTTTAAAGGATTTCACCTCAGATGTTATTCGTTTATCTAGTAGACAATGGACCAAAAAAAAAAAAACATTGAAATTAAGATACAAATTATACCAAACAAAATTCATTTCAAAAAGATACTTTTTTCCAAGAAAAATTGACTAATTATTTTTTTGTTTTTGCCTGTCCACTAGGCTACTTTACTGTGCAATGATGATTTGTTCCGCACTGTGGAAAATAAGGATTTAATTATTGCTCCAAATTTGTAATTGCTGTATCACAAACCTCAGTAATATATTTGCTAATTTTAAATTTGTGTGATCTGACAGGGGCTTTACACTACTACTTTGATCACTCTTATAAAATAAGTTTTTATACTTTGTTCCTTCAAGATCATTAGAAAATGTGTAATATATAACAATACTATGTGGTAAAAAAACAAAAGGTCTGAAAAGCCATTTCATAAACACATGTCAACTGCTCTCTCTGTAAAGCAGCAGTATGAATGCAGATCTGAAAGTCCACTTCAATTGTAGACGACAAAGGTTTAACATAGCTAATTTACAGTCATTTGGAAATAAGATTGCATAGATTTTTAACAATCAATGTTATTAGTAAAGATTGCAATCATACTAAATAATCATGTTTCCTATGATTTTATTAAAACTGAGCAGTTTCACCACAATGTATACAATGCAAAGAAATTTTGTGGAGAAAAAAAAAGGTGGAAATTGTTAGTTTGCAGAGTATGCTGACTGTAAGACTGAATGATATACCAGGTTTAGCACTGTACACAGACCATACAGGAAATGAAAGACATCTGAGAAGGAGAGAGAAAAAGAGAGCGAGAGTCCAAATGTGTGTGGAGAGTGGAGAGTAGTGGGTTGGCCAAAAGCTTTTACCACTGGACAGCGGCCAGCGCTCCCCTGGCCAGTAAGAGCAGAGGTGGGGGGTGGTTTCAGCTTATAACTCCTGTTCCAAATTCAACGGGCCTCCTCAAGCCAGCACTACTACACCGCCTCTTTATTTCCTTTCAATCTACCTGTCAGTGCCAAAAAACACCCCTCTATTCCTTTATTCCTGACCCACATTCCCCTGTCAGCTGTCCCCGCTAAAACAAAAGGCCCAAAGAATTTCATAATCAATCTTGACCAAGGCAAAAAAACCTTTGTTTAAAACGGTGTCTTTCTTTAATTTAGTGAGCAGCTGGCTGAGCCAACAAGCACATCATGACTGCAAATGCCACTGGGTTGTTGTTAGTCGAACGTCATGAAATAATATTAATATTAGTCAGTCATGGCAACTGATAATTCACCTCACATGCACCATAAACAACAGCCTGAATGAATCTACCTTACTCATATCCCAGCGGGCGATGCAGTAGTGTTTGTTGAACGGACTAATACGTTTGCAGCATGCACTACAGGGAGTTTGGGCATGTTGTGAAAAGGCAGATCCTTGGAGCTTACAGTCTTTTTAGCACTGTATTCTCACTAGGAGGTTAAACAAAGTGCAAAGGGAAGACTTCTGGAACCACTTCCCTTTTCGGTGCAGCTGTTCTGCGTCAGACTGTTCTGGCTTCATTGTGGTGGAGTGACTCAAAACATTTGATTTGGCCTTGATGGGCAGTTAGGAGGTCAGTGAAGTAGATGGACAATGATCAGGCAGGGATGTTTCTTTAACAGAAATTTGCAGTATCACGAAATTTAATGCAAATACCCCTAAAAATCTGTTTCCATAATATAAAAAGAAAGCGAGCACAGAGGATCCAAGCTTACAGTCTCAATGTAAACACAGGGTGCAATAACAATATGCTATTCGAACTGTGGCCATGCACGTTTCCCGATTCTGACAAGTGTGAGTGCTCAGTTGGACAGCCCTGGCGCAGTTCAGTTAAACAGCCCTGGCCAGGTTGGAAGAGGAGTGCCAGAGTACAGTTCAGTTGGGCTTTAGCACGGTGTGCTTGTAGTGTAAATAGTACAAGCAATTGTACTATTTGAAACTTTAATAAGCATTATTTTATAGAATTATTTATGCATTTAAGACTGTGCAGTGCTATTTTACATTGTATTATTCAATTTCTGTACGTGAATTCACCTGTTCATTGTTTTCATATCGTTCCTAGGTTAGGGTTTCCTCTACCATAATATACCTAAAGTACAGATTAAAAGAAAAACTCATCATTGGCCAGTAAAGAGTTAAAAGTAATTTGAGAGCTACTGAAATTTATTACCATGAAGAATATGAATATATTCCTATACTAGGGATGGGAAGATTAACCGATATGTATCGATACGCGGTCATGCGAGTGCATCGGTTGAGCAGCAGAGGATGAATGAAATTTTGGAAGCAAATCGAGATGCATCGGTTTTTGCGAGATGCATCGATTTTTCCGAGATACAGCTTATATTTTTAATATAGAATGTATTTTTTATTTATTAACAAGTGTTGTCAACCTGTTTTTGGCGCATAATTTAATCGACCTACATAAAATAAGCCTTAGCAACGAATTTGCGGATGTGCACACTTACACTACAACTATCAGGTGTGCGGATGAAGCTAGTGGAGCGCCCTCAGAAAGCGCGAGAAGCAAAATAAACATTTTATTCCCCACTGAGTTTTAAATCTAAAGTATGGCAAGCAACATTATGGATTTAAGAATGGACGACATGACAGGACAGATGCAATTTTATTTTTATTCAAAATGTGCCGCGCATCTGTAAAATACGCGGGCAGTACGACTAATCTGAAATCTCACTTGAAGCGGCGCCACGGTGTTGTTGTGACAGCATCTTCCAGTGTTTCTGCATCCCCGGCTTTCGCACTGCTTCAACCAGCTCCAAAAGTGGTGAGAAAAGCATTGCAAGTTTTTTTTTCCATGCGCAACAGTTCTGCTCGCTCTACGCCAATAACGAATGCTATTGCATTGTTCATCTGCAAAGATATTCAGCCTAGTGTCACGGGGAACGAAGGTTTTAAACACCTCCTCCTGTTATTTTTTATTTAATTATAATAATATTAATAATAATAATGATAAAAATAATTGGGTGTCACGGTGGCACAGTGGGTAGTTTGACCACCTCACAGCAAGAAGATTGCTGGTTTGTTATATTTTTATTAGCCTGTTGTTTACAGTGACAGTGATGTTTCAAAGCAGCATAACACTGCTAGTTCACCACCTTAAGTTTTGAATAATCAGTGGCAAAATATATCTTTGTAAAACTTGTTTTCATAGTTGAAAAGTTAAATCACAATTCTTGTTGTGCAATGCTAAATTTATTTATGTTGAAAGAGTGCAAATATATACATATTTTTTTTATATATATTGCACTTATACATTCTGTTTATCTTGAAAATACTTAAATAATATGTGCTATACGTTCTAAAATGGCCCTCTACTGTAAACTGACACTCTGGCTCTGAGAGAAGAGTTTGTAAAAAAAAAGTCTTGGTTTTGCTTGGTTTATAAATAATCAAACTCATTCAATGGCACAGCATCCTCGTTCACATAATCTCATAAACTTGATCTAATTAGTTAGTGCTGAAATATCGCATCGTATCGTGATATGGGTGTGAATCGTATCGTGTTGCATCGCAATATGTCACAAATGTATCGCGAATATATCGGATCGTATTCTTTGTATCGAGATGCGTATCGGATCGGCATTATAGCTTAGATGCCCAACCCTAGTCTATACTATTATTATAACACAGCCAAAAGTTTCTATTTTAAAAGTTTCCTCGATTAGTGAAAAACAATATCAATTTATCCTCAATCTTGAGTTTAAGGCTGTCTTTCAGCAATTTAAAGTGTTGCCTGCACTCTACTAGTAGTTTAAACACTGTAAAAAAGCATGCAGGCAGACCCCTGAAGGGTGTGTGTGAGTGCTAGGTCAGGCTCAGGCCAGCTGCATCATGATCTCCCTCTGCTGCTGTACAGCCCACTGCCTCCAACAACAGCATTCATTCACACAGCCCGAGCACAAACCACTCACACAAACACTCAGCCTTATGTGCCATGCCTCTGCTTCACTCTCAAGCCATATGAAGACTTGGCATTTAAATGTGTGCACAAGAGAGCCAAAGATGACTCTAAAGCACATGGATGGCTTATTTGGGCTTGCAGTTACATCCTAAAATGCTTTAAAATGTCAAGAGTGATTTGGAGCAGGATTGAGAATCACTGTGCAATTCACTTCACCTAAGGGGACTTTCAGGACCACAGGGTAATATGCTTGTGGTGGATGTGTGTGGGATGTCTCACCTATTTGCAAAGGGTCTTTCACAGCCCTCACCCTATAGAGCTGCTCACCACGCTGAAACTCATCAGGGCTGCCGTTGGCCAAACAGGAATATAATCTGCAACAACAAATACAGGGAAGAAATTAAAAACAGCATTTAACAGATTTTTCAGCCATATTCTAAACATTAAAGGTACCATAAAATTAAAGTAATGTAATGTATTTTTTATTTAGTGCCATGTCAGCAACCAAGGCTATCTTCATGGCAGGAATCTTTCAACAATAAAAATACAATTTAAAAATCAACAAACAAAATAAAACATAAATTAAATAAGATTTTTTGTGTTAATACATGACAAAAAATTCTAAAATCTTTTCTGGTTCCATTTTGTCAAAAATGTCCTTAAAAGAGTTACCATAAAATTAAAATAAAAACATTTTAGATGTTAGTTTCAGTCTGATAGTTTTAAGCATATCTATTAACAGGGTTTCTGCAGGTTTCTTCAAATTACATTTAAGACTTTAATACCATTTGAAGACCATTATTAATGAAAATTTAGATTTATACATGGCTAAACACTAAGGATTTTTTTTCTGATGGGCTGCTTACTTCTGTAAATAGTTTTTTGTATTATTGGAAGATCATGTAAAGGGATGTGTTGCTCTAGTTTCCTTTCCCTGATTAGGGAATTTAATTTGGAGAATTTGCTGTAAAAATGTCTAACAGCTGTTGCAAATTGTAGCTCTTTGCAAAATAAAACTAAAATATATATATATAAAAAAAAGAAGTTTTGAGATGCATTATAGGTGATTAGGTGTCAGCCAGATTGGGTAGCTTTACTTGGACATAGGGAAATTAAGATCTTTCAAATTATTTAAAACCTACAACACAATATTTCAGTCAATGTAAGACTTTTTAGAGCCTAAAATTGTGTTTTTAAAATTTAAGACATTGTAAAACCCCGCAGTCACCCTGATTAACCAGTGACAAAATTGTGTTTAGAAAATATATAACTGATATAAACATGTAAAGCCTGTAGTTTGGCACTTCCGCCTAATGGATCCACGATTTTTTCCACATCACCTTACTCTTCCGTTTCTCATCAAATCTTGACCAATCAAATGCTCTCTAGTATCTGACATGCCGCGCCTCTTTTCATGTGATGCGCTTGATCTTAATCACTTTCACTGGCAGAGCGGTGATAAAAACAAAACGCTATTGGCTGTTTTTTTGTTTGTTTTTTTTTTTAAAGAGAAGGAGCTAATCTATGCCCCACCCTCTCTTTGTTTTTTAGTTGAAATTACATCAAACATAGAAAAGAAAAGGCATTTCAAAGCATTGCACTGGACATTTGAAGAGATTTCTGGTAACATGCTGACTGATCTGGTTAAGCTTAACGTGCCCCAATTATGCTATTATGCTTTTTATGCTATTATAATCAGATTTTAGCTGTCATGAATTGTGAAATGTAGCTGTTTGTGCATGTAAAAAGTTTTAAAGTCAAATCAACGTGAAAATGAATCTACAGATTAATGTTACCATAAAAACTGAAACAAAATAATAATTCTTAATTGCTGAAATGAGTCTTCGGCAATTCCAGTTTCCCCTTCCGAATCTGATCTATGTTCAGTTGTAAACAAACATCCATAACACCAGTCTATGACATTCTCTGGCTGCACTGGGTGTAAACAATGTCTACTTGACTTAAACTCAAAGACTTTACAGTTGGTACAGTAGTTTTGAGTTGATCTTCCAATGCTTTTCTGAACTGGGCCATCTGACCAATCACAGCAAAGCAGGTTTAAGAAAAGGGGGGGTTTAAAAATAAAACTCTTCAAATGAATCATTAAAATGCTTAGAAATTAGTTTAAATAAATATTTATATTGTAAATTTTTTTTTCATGTTTTCCTCACTTTATGTTCATCCAACTTCTTGTTAGGTGCTAAAAAATATGAATTTATGAACTTTCAAAGTGGCACTAATAATAGGGACACTTCAAAGACAGTATTATGGTACATTAACACCGAAAGCGGCGAGAGCATCAAAGTAGCCGGAAGTCATTCATTTTCAATGAGAGCCGGTGGCGATAAGCAGCGCGACACGTCTTTGTCGGTGTGGCCGTCAAGGAGAGTTGAAATCAAGTCAACTTTATGGTAATTAGATATGACGTGGTTCAGCAGCAAGAAATCAGAATGAAGAAGTCCACCGCTTGAGAGGAGTTAAGAGAACACAGTCCTGTGAACTTTGGTTCTGACCACAGTTGTTCCAAGGGTTTGATTATTGCGGTCGCTGGATTTTCAATTATTTACGATGTTTTCTTAAAGGAAAATACATCAAATAAGTTACTGGTGAGTTATGATGTGCATTACTGTTATATACATTTAAAAAAGCGGGAATCTCATGCAACAGTTCAAAACAGTATTGCTGCTTCAGAATATTTCAGACATAAGGACACATTGGATAATTAAGCGAAGCAAAGCCACACCACACGCAACTTGATCTTCCATTGTTAAATTATTTTGATAAGACGTGCGCAAAATTTTCACGCTAGAAAGCATGTTTTATGCAGGAATGTAACTGATATGCTGCAACGGCTCCTTTAAATACAAGATCAATGTACAGCGTTGTCGCCAGGGCGGCCAGAGCAACCTTGGACGCTCTTGCTGCTTTCGGTGTGAACGCACAGTAAGCTGCTATGAGGTCTGTGGGCTTTCACCTGATGTCTTCTTCATTTTCTGGGAAGCTCCAGTAGGCGATTCGCAATTGCAGCTGTTCAGGAACGGGAGGATAAACCTTTTCCACCACCTCGAATGGAATATGGAAGGCAACCTGTTTGGCCGACAGCTCCACCAGGGGGATGACTTGGCCATCTAAGAAAGGAAGTGACATCAGAGTTACTCTTTCTGCTGCAGATTATCAACTATGAAATGACTGACTTCAATGGATATTTATCAACAATATTAAGGTTTACTCATACCATGTGAAAGCTAATTTATTTGGCATAAACATTTGAACTAGACTGAACAGCTGTTAAATTGTTAGTTCAGAGTAACATCAACAGTTGAAATGCTGTAAATGTGACAGGCAAAGAAACATCTCCAAGCAACAGGTAAAAAGAAACCTTACTAAAGCATGTTTTACGTTAAAATACCATTTCAGTCATGCTCAAAGTCACTCCTATTACAAAAAACTTCAATTAAACTCATTATAAACATTCAAAGCCCGATTAAAGTAAATCCAATCACAATATAACCATGACTGTGTAGTGTACATTTTAAAAAGTACATTTAATTTCGTGATCAAAACTTTTACTGTAAATATTGAAATCATGCCAATGATTCTTAGCTCACACAGTTAAAAACAAAGGACAAAAGGTTTTGTGCAGAGGGAAGGAAGAAAACGAAAACACAACTAACGTCTTGCATATATTGTTACATTATATCTAACAAAATGGTTTCCTGTGTTTGAGTGTGAATACAAAAAGGGCAGACTCTGAGATCAAAGTTAAGCAAAAGACAAAGTAACTTCACACATAATTTTTTAAAATTATATATATATATATATATATATATATATATATATATATATATATATATATATATATATATATATATATATATATATATATATATATATATATATATATATATATAAAACTCAAAATGTATATATTTAAGTGCTGCACTATATATCATATTAGCGTAAAGATGGGAATGTGCAAATGCGCAATAGTCACATTGCAAGATATGCAATGCTGAATCTAAATTAATGTTGACCAGGAGCTAAATAATTGTATTTAATCTATGCATTTATAAGGAATTTATGCAAACAAATGTTTTTCTTTCTTAGAATTTGTCATATTTATAGACCAAATATCTACATTTCAAACTGAAAACAATAATTCTTTACCTACCTTCATTTTGACTTATGTCTTCTAATGTTGAAAACAAGTAAAAAATTGATTTTATTTTTAAATTTTATTTTGATCTAAATTTTTTTTTAGATATTTCAACAAGAAATGAGACAAAGAAAAGAAAGAAAAGCATTTTTTGCATTGCTATTATTCACTTTCTGTACCTAAATACTGTTAGGCTCCCCAGAAAACCGTCAAATAGTGCTATTCAAACTATCTTCTGAAACTGTATTCATATCGCAATTTTTAATTACAGCAAAACAAAAATTGCAATATCAGATCTTATCATGCAGCCCTAATATATATAAAATAAAGCAGCCAAATAAATGATTCATTTAAAATATTTATTCCTCATCCAAAGTTTCTCAAGGTTTCAGACTATTTTGCAAAGTATTTTGTTGCCTTTTGTTATAGTGAATAGGGGAGGAGGCATCTAAACCCTAATATGTGTGTGCTGAACATTTAAGTTGGTGTAAGTGAACAGGGCTTGATTGTAGATTGATAAAATCACAACATTCCGGTCACAGGCACTCCACATTAAACAATCAAAAATACTTGGCATCTCAGTCAAATAGCTGAACAATAGTCACACATATGGCTGCAGTTCAAACAACTCATTTTGAAATGGAGGAAAAATGACTGAGAAGTGAGGTTCATGACCTCAGGCAACCTAGTTTTGTTCCTGAACCAGACGGTTCATAAACACTCAAGGCTAATAGAGAAAAAACAAGACAGCTGCCAACAGGGACTAAACGCTGACCGCTGAGAAGACTGTGTATAGCGGGGGGTTTCAATATACTCCAGGGTCCTGGATTCGAGTCACCAATTACTTTTAGACAATGATAAAAGTGGTCACGCAAAAAAAAAAGAAAAATAAAGAATGGACTAAAAGAAAATCTTTCAAGAGCAACTGAATATTTGTGCCTTCAGCCTAAAGTGAACTCAGCCACAGGTTTCAGGGACAGCACTCATTATGAAACTTTATTTGCTATATTGAGCCTCAGGGCTGTAGTGACATACTTATCTTATTGGATATTATCAAGATGTGTCTGAAATGAACACCAGCATCAGGAGGTCATTATCATAACAGAGCTGCAGGCAGTTTGACTGTAATCCACTGCACTCAGTCACCTTAGAGCTGAATCTCACATTACATTCACACACAGACACTGCACTGATACACCGTCACTACACACAACTGCCACATGAAGACCTTACATGATCAAATACGCTTTCCAATATATTATATATAGTAACTTCACTGCATGATATAAAAACAAATGTTATGCATTACTGTAGTAGCATTATAGTACAGCCTAAAGCATCTTACTGCTTTTAAAAAAAGATTTAGTAGATTTTAAGAATACTAGGAGTAGGGACACAAACTTGTATAATCTTAAGTAGTATTACTGGACTTTAGAGCGATTCATCAGTGAGTTTTAGATGAACAAAGTAAATGTTTGAGACTGAATCATTAAATCAACTAATTATCTTAAAAATTGTGATTCATTTAAGAACAAAAGAAGTGACTATCCTTATGTCTAAGCCACAGAATCATTTGTTCAACTGAGTCATTCAAACAGAATGATTCATTCAAAACCAAAAGATTGTTTTTACCCGTCTCATTACCTTCACTTGTGGTCTTTGCCTCTTAAACCTAAATTATACAAAGTAAATTGGACAGAATTTGAAGTATACTTATTTAATATAGTGTGTGAATATGTAGAGTGTTTCTTGTTCATTGTCTGCACCTTCTTTCTCCAGAAAATATGAGTGGTGAAAATATCTTCGTACTCATTTAAAGTAGATCTAAAGACTACTTGTAACCTCACATAAGCACTGATAAATCGGTTTTCAATACTATGTTGTTAATCTTGTTCCATGTCTTCCAAATGTATTCTGACTGTCAAACATCAGTCCACATAAAGTGAATTCTATTAATATGGCAATAACTATGTTGTAGGACTGGGCCGATAAATAATATCATATAGAATCGCAATAAAATTTAGGACGATAACGATGAAAAGCTATGGAGATTTTTACTCAATATTGATCTAAGAATCAATCGAACAGAACACATATGCAACAACAGGAATCTGTAGTTGTGTTGAGAACAGACATATGCTATGTCACCCAGTAGTTTAAGCGAGCTCGATTCACTTTCCCACCAGCAGTTTGCTGTTAAATTGTTGTTTATTTTAATGATTTAATTGATTAACAAAAATTAAGTGAAACATTTATTTTAAATCAATTTCAATAATTATGTAATTGCTTATTTTTAGAAAATGCAATAAGTATATTGTTTGCGTACTGTGTCTATGCTGTCAGTTACAGTTCTTCAGAACTTTATATTTTATATTGTAAATCATAAGTATAAAACAGAAAATCTGGATCTTCAAAGAATCAGAGTAATGTGCAAACTGTTTTGATTAATAAGCAATACTTTAAAATGTAAATCAAGTGTCTAATCTGTGGCTTCAGTCATCGTTTAGATACTCTTAATGCTGGAAGCATTAACTACTTGTATCAAAACATATTTTGCTACCATTTTCAAGCATTTTAGCATTTTTTGCTATATCGCCCAGCCCTAGTGTGATGTATATTTTGCTACATGCAATGTTGTTGTTTACTTAATTAGAAGCATTACAACGACTAAACTATGAATGTTTTAAAGTTCTAAGTATTAGGTCACAATGGAATAAACTACCATTGTCACTCAAAGATGTACAATACTTTAGAAAATTTTAACATTTGCAAAATAAAAACAACTAAACAGTAAGCCATTCTTTAAAAATACTGAACATTCTTAGCTATCTTCCAAGTTGCCAAAAACATGATGTGTATGCTCACTCCCAAGTGCATCAATTCTGTTTTATGACACATGCTGAGTAAACGGATTCATTTAAACTATAGCAGATTTTCTCATTTTTGTTGTGCATGTGCAATAACTTGCTTTATTTATTTTTATTTACTCAGACGTATAGTTTCCATAGTTTTTGTTTCTGCGATGATTTACTCATCCCCACTTGTTCCAAACCAGTTTGAATGTCTTTCTCCTGTTGAACACAGGGGAAGAATAATGGAAAAACATAAGAAAAAAGCAGCTATTGACTTCCATAGCATTTTGCCTAGTATTGCACTGTACTATAATGTTTATATAAAGTATATCAGACGATATATTGATATGTTTTTTTTCTTTTAATCCTGGATATCAGTATTGCCCCCCCAAACAACAATTTGCTCCTACTTGGGATGTCGGTGGACGCCTTTATCCAACATTCTTCAGAATATCTTACTTTGTGCTTTACAACAGAAAATAGAAAAATCATAAAAGTTTGATGAGGAAACTTTCATTTGTGGGTGAATATCCCTTTAAAGTTCATCAGTGTTTTCTACATGTTACATATAGATCCAAAGTGGGTAATTGTCAATTACTGCCAACAGGAACACCAGTACATTAACTCCACATTAAAAAAGCGTGCAACCTAAAGTACCATAACTATAGACATGCCATGTTCACACAGCAGAGCCAAACCACATCATTACAAGCCACCCACATAACCTAAACCCAACTGTCCAGAGATAAAACGCTAAACGACTTTAGAGATGACTTACCAACACCACAAGTTGATACAAAAATACTTTATAGACAGACAGTGGGAGTCATAGAGACCAACGACTTCGCAGGGGACAGGTGACTCATTACAGGTGCTGACAACAAACAGCTGCGCAGCAACAATAAGAGCATGAGGGCGACTGAGATCCCAATGAATCAGGCGGCACACTCATAGCCAGTCTTGGCTGACTAAACCATGGTGACCAACAGAAGAGGAGTTAACACAGGCTGCGAGTCGTGCAAGACAGCTTTGTCTTTTGTGAGGCATTGAATAGGTGAGACAGTCTCTCATGAGAAGTCTGCTGCCCCACAGCTCCATACCCTCCAACAAGCAGAGAACAAAGACACGGAGTGCTGTATAAACAGTCATGTCTGCGTGATTGGATTCCCTCAGTTCCAGAACCAAGAAAACAGGGCACCTCTGATTTAGTTTTAAGGATGAATTCAGATTAAACGCACATAAAAAAGTAAGTTTTGATGTCTCAAAGTGGGCTGTGTAAGATCAGCAGCATTATGCAGATTGATCAAATAGGGTTTTTTTTGTTTAACCACAATCCTCTGCTCAGAGGCATTGACCTGCACAAGACAAAGCTCTTTTTACAGCTCTCAACTCCACCCAACCCCCTACAACACTTACTCGCTCACTCTCAATCTAAACACCACACAAGGCCTCCGTTTCCAAACCCCCTTAACTCATCCAACAAATGCTACTCGCTCCACTCAGGGATATGCAGCCTCACGGATCTCTCTTCTTCACAGCTGACAAGTCTCTCTGCACATGCACTCCATGGGGCCTGAGGTGGACCGCAGAAACAGACTCACTGACCAAATGCAACACAAACTCTGTGCAAACATTATTTTAACACATCACAGCTGTGCTGCAGTGTCCTAGAAGATTTACTTTAACTTTACTTTTAAGACAAATAAGCAGAGGATGCTTGAAATGTATATCTGTGCTGCTAACACATCCGAGTTAGACAAAACTGCAAAAACAGCTGCTTTTTCAGTTGAAGAGACAGTTCATTCATATACTTTTACTCTATGCCCACAAAAACAACATATTTTGATGAATGGTGGTGTTCAAATAACCCGTGTCAGTTTATGCGATACATTTTTATAAGTTCAACCATGATAAAACTGCTTGAAATTAAAATTCCTCATAATGCTAGTTGAGTCCTGCTGCTTCCTCCTGAACTCCAGAAAGCACACAGATTAAGTAAATTTTCAAACCTCTTAAATTCAAAAGAAGTTTTTCAATAACTCATTGTAAATTTCATAATGGGATTTTTGGGGTGATTTACAATTAGGCTGATTAAATTTTGAACTTAGACAGTGAACCCAAAGATTTTCTTACCATTCACTCTCTCTCAAGTTGTTTAAAAAAATTTTAAACAACTTGTGAGTTTATTGCTTCTTTTGAACGGGACGATAACTGGTTTTAAGGTTTACAGCGGTTTTGAAAGTCAAGTTTTTAAAACCGTTAAAATTTTCTGTTATACCATTCCCAAGGTATTTGTATGTTTTGTTTTGTTTTTTTTTTACAACTATTTTATTGAGTTTTTTAGGGCAACAGTAGAAAAGAACCCTCCACATCACAAGTTACTGATCAGACCATGATTTAGGAAACATCTGAAAAACAAATCTCTTATAAGCAACCATCCAGCTGTAGAGCTAAACAGTGCAATAACTTACTCTATATCCAAAGAAAAGAAAGATATCCATGCCTTTTTAAGCTGAAAAGAAATCTGTGTTTTTGAAGCAGAAGTCAATGACTGAATTAAATTATTAAGCCTGACATTTATTGTTTCAAAATATTTTAAAGGCTAAAAAATATATACCATGTTCAATAGGGAAACAGTTTTTGTTTTAATCCCAAACATTTAAAAAGATATAGAGCAGTAATCACAATACTGTGATATCGTTAAGGCATGACATTTTTACCCTAAGGTTATCATACCATCAAAATCTTATATCGGCACATCCCTATTTTGAACACAAAAGCTAAAAATCTGTAACTACTGACATCAATAGTAAGAAAAGCAAATACTTTATGTGGTAAAAGGTATCCAACATTTTTTCTAAATATCTACTTTTGTGTCCAATAGAAAAAAGAAACTCTTAAAGTTGTTTGAAACAAGGACGAGTAAAGGTCAGAACTTTCATTTTTGTGTGAACTATGCCTTAAATACAAGGGTTATAGAACTCACCTTTGATTTAACTCAAACGGAACTTGAAAACAGTTTCCTTTTTTGATGATGGCATAACAGCTCTAATAGACTTCCTTAAAGGAATTATGACAGGAAACTGCACTGAATATTGATGCAGTAGCATTTTAGTAAACAAATTAACAACAACAAAGACTTAACTAATTGAGGTTCCTATTTAGGTGAATGTATTACATAATATTTTGTTGTTGGAGCAAATCCATTCTAAATGCTGAACAAACTTCTGCAGTAGTACTACGATGTCAAGTTCTTTAATTGTGTTAGTTGCCAAATAGTGATGGAGAAAAATGTATGACAGATAGACAAGTCCTTTACAATATGACAATATAACAAATTGAAACTGTATTATATCATCTACAGTTACTTTTGCATGTAACTGTTTAACAAATGTTTTAGATTATTCTGCACAATATCTGACACATTTGTCAGTATATAATCGGAGATGTTTAATTAAAAAAGTAATGAACAACAGCTCCAAACCATGGCAATATTAACCAAATTAATTGAGGTAAGAAGGTTTGATATTTCGCACATTCGTTCCTTTAATGGCCCATATAATGTTTACCACGCTAAGTTGTATATTGAGTCTGAAATAGCATGCAAGGATGACTTCAAATCAATATTAGCACTATGTAATTGACTGTGAACAATGCTGTACTTTAATAGTCATTTGCTGCTAATATGATTTCACTATTTAAAATTTGCAAAGAATACTTCTCTGAAATTATATTATTGAGCAGAAAGTCTGAATGTGCAAATATAAAACCAACTTTACCTCTATTACCAAATTAGTCAAGCAGGGAGATGTATAGAGCCACAGTTTGACTTGGTAGGTCTAAACATGTGGGTCATGTGACAATGTTGTCCATAAGTTAAGAATACATCCTAAAGGTCAAAGGTACAGTCAAGCCAACTCACGGTGTGCTCATGTTACAATGACAGCACATAGAAACAATCATCCTCTATTACCTTTAATCTTCACAGTGGGGGAATTTGGGCCGGCAGACTGTTTCCTCCATCCTCTCCAGTTCTGGCAGAGACTTTCCGCCTCTGATATGAATGAGCACAGGGAGTCCTCCTCAAAACGGTCTGAATCTTCAAAGGAGAACCTCTCTCCATCTTCCCACTCAGCGAACATCAGTTCCATCACATCTGCTGTGTGGAGACCTGGACGCCTCAACTGAACGTGCCTGTGCGCTCCTGTTGTTTTGAGAGAGTGACACTCGCCCAGGGGGAGGGGAAACTCACACTCAACCCAAACACAGCGTGAGGGGCCCTAGGAAGTCCCTCAAGAAGACTGTGTCTGTCTTAGCAATAGATATTTACGGTTTTAAATTGAGCATTTGTGAATCATAGTGTGGAGTTAATCCATATTTTTTCATCCAAATTGCTGAAGACACTTTAGTTCTTAAAAAAACTGACACAACCCATAACTAAAACTCAAATAAACCTCTAGACGTATAACTTTTCTCCCTAAATAAGTGGTCTTGCATTGTCAAGTAGGAACTTATAAGTCGAAAACACCCTAAAAGGTGTGTCGTTGGACCTCTCACGATTTAAATAAATTTGACCCCCTCTACAGTGGTCTGATTGCAAACAAGTTTTCGAACTGCATAGCAAGTTGTTATTTGACAGCATTAACTGTAGTGACTTCCTTGTCAGTAAAGTTCAGGGCTTATTAGCAAGCAGGAGTTCTTTTCACTCGAATGTTCATTTAAACCCCCTCTCCTCTGTTTGTCCTATCAGCTGAGCCTCGAGTCCCTCAGCAGCTCCACGGCTAACAAAACAAAAGAGCGGTGAAGAAAACAAAAACAGGTCCCCAAGTACAGCTAATGACCCACCGCGGGTTTATTTCACTTAAATAAGGCCATTTCACAACGGCAAACCCGTGTTAACCCCAAACAACCCTTGGTACGGTTGTTTTTATTTCGATCGAGGTAGCTCTGCTAACTCCGAGAAGCTAACGTTAGTCGGGTTAGCCTGCTAGCTTTTCTAGCTAGCCCGAAATACCAAACAATTCAAAAACTCTCAAAATAAGCGCTGACACGGCATGTGCTTATGCCCCTACACATAACCAGACGGAATAACGCTGTTTTGACGTTTTGGCACAAAAGCCTTGGTCCCTAATCCGAGTCTTGTCGATCCACTGGGTTACCCAAAACAAACGACCGGCCAGTGCTCTTATCTCAGCATTGTGCCTCAAAGTGGGTTTACAGTCAAATCAGACGACTAAAATGCAGAGTTGACCCCCCGACCAGGACATACGTCCATCCGTTGAAAACATATTTAATGTTAATTGTCTTTATGCCACCTCTAGCTGCCTCGTATCTGTCTTCTCCTTTGTGTGTTAAAGCTTGTCATCCGCTTGTCTTCATGTGCCACCGGCCGGCTCTCTTCCAGTCCCCCGTTTGCAAGCAGCCAGCGCTCTCTGGATCCAAAATGTCTTTTAAAGCTGACAATTTGGAGTCGAGATCCCCCTGTACTCTCTGTCCTGCCCCCCTCCTCTCCTCTCTCTCCGCTCCGCTCGGCTCGGGAAGATGAAGATGGCTCTTCTGCATCAGCTGATCCGCACTTCCGCTCGACGTTAAAGCCAGACAAACAAGCTTCCAAAAATCACCGCATGATATAAACGTATGGCAGTTATTTGTTTATGAGTGTGGCCTGTTGCTAATAAATCATAAATCACCTGTTATGCATTTCATCTCTTTGATTTAACACAATACTTGAGTTTTAAATGATAAATACTGTGCAACAGATTGTCATGGGTGTTTTTGGACATCATATTTAAATATTATAATAACAAAATAACAGTAAACGATTGTATGATAATAACCTATATAGGCCTATATGTTTTTAAGCCTCTCACATTCCAAGTTTGTTTTAAAAAAATAGATATCACCAATTGCAGGTCTTTGAAAATATAATAAACAGATTTTAATTTTCTTTCTTTGACAAAACTGGTATAATTTTACAGCAGTTATTAACATTTGTTTGTATACATTAAAGAAATGAATATGTTAGCGCAGTTGCATTGACTAATTTTAACATAATTAGTCAAATTGCAGAAGAGAATGTTTTTAACTGTTAGTTCATTATTAATTTTCTAATGCTGCAATTATTGTATATACTGTATACTATTCCACTTTACTGAAATCTTTGAAAACATTTTGATGAAATGTCATTAATGTATCTTAACATTACATATTTCAGGTCTGTTGCTAGCCTGGTGAGAGGGCTGGTTCTTTTTTTCTCAAAAAGTGGTCCTTTGTGCAGCTATTCACCTCATTTTCTTCTCATTTAAAGTTAAATACTTCATTTTAGTGACATTTTAGCTCTATTTTTAGCTGGATTAGCTTGTCGGGTGGTCATCATAGCCATTTCCTAAAGAGTTAGAATATAAAAAAAACACAGATTTATACTATTATATATTATATGTCATTTCAAAAATACAAATTTATTACATATATAATTTAAAAGGGCATCGTGGTGGCGCAGTGGGTAGCACGTTCGCCTCACAGCAAGAAGGTCGCTGGTTCGAGCCAGTTGGCATTTCTGTGTGGAGTTTGCATGTTCTTCCCTTATTGGCGTGGGTTTCCTCCGGGTGCTCTGGTTTACCCCACAAGGCCAAAGACATGTGGTATAGGTGGATTGGGTATGCTAAAACTGACCGTGGTGTATGCGTGTGTGTGGATGTTTCCCAGTGATGGGTTGCAGCTGGAAGAACATCTGCTGCATAAAACATATGCTGGATAAGTTGGCGGTTCATTCCCTGTGGCGACCTTAAAGGGACTAAGTCTAAAAGAAATGAATGAATGAATAATAATAATGATGTAGAGCTTCCTGATTTTTCTAGTCTCTCTTGTAAAATAGTGTTTGAAAATTCAAAGATAACTACAATAGCCTATTTATTATTGAAATTAACTTTAACATGCTTCATAATGACCTTTTGGTGTTGCACACCTTGTAAACTGTATACATAAGAGAGGAGTCTGGATGCAGACCTGGTGCAGTGCAACCTGAGCTGCACCCAATGCTTTTTAATGCGCTCACCTATAACCCCACCCTTAACCCTACCCATCACAGTGATATCACTCACTCTGTTGAGTCCATTGTGTCTGACATTGCATCACTGAGTGATCGCTGGGTCTTTCGAACCACCCGAACCACCCCTGGCTGCATGTGAATGTTGCTGATGTAATTGTAATAGATGTTTTAATTTAATTTTTATGTTAAAATAATTTTAAATGGAATCATCCTTGATTTCATTTGTCTGTGTTCATAGCAGACCTAAAGTATGATCATTGTATTCCTGCAACATAATAAATGTCTAAATCTTTAACAGCAATAATTCATACTCAAATCACTTTCATACTGTTTTTTTAATAATCATGTTGCAATGTTGGATAGTTAAGGAGATCAATTCAGTGATTCAACTTTTAAGACAAACACAATGGACTGTATTTTAATGATCTAGGCGCAATGTTTAAATTGCAACAAAATAAAATATAATTATACTTTCTGTAACATTTTAATCTTTTAAATGTTTTTAAAAGCCTCGGCTGGGACAGTTGGCATTTCCAGCCTGATCTCACAAGAAAACATAAATATTTGAATTTCTTTTTCAGTTTAGTGGATAATTCAAGCTATGAAAATATACGATTTAAAAAAGGAGGCATTGCACCCAACCCCACCCCTAAACCCAACCATCAATGGGTGATGAGCAAATCGTACTACATTGTACAAATTAGATCATTCGAATTCATACGAATTAGTCACTAAACCAAAATGTTACGAATTGTCGTCAGATTGCGTTGGCATTTCTGTGTGGAGTCTGCATGTTCTTCCTGTGTTGGGATGGGTTTCCCCCACAGTCCAAACATATGAGCTAAACTGTAGGTAAATTGGGTAAACTAAAGTATACCTCTACGTAAAACATATTTTGGAATAGTTAGTGGTTCATTAGTGGTCGCTGTGGCGACCCCTGATAATCAGGGACTAAGCCGAAGGAAACTGAATAAATGAATGAACAACGTAGCGCAAAATGTAAAAATTACTGTTGCGCTGGTCTGAAAATAGCAACAAATCACGCCATACACATCTTGCAGCTTATTGCGCCTGGTGTATGTATAGGGCCCAATGAGTGAGAGGAATAATATCACTCATTTTCTTGGTAGCTTAGTCCCTTTAATAATCCGGGTTCGCCACAACTTATCCAGCAAGTTTTTACCCAGCGGATGCCCTTTCCCATCTCTGGGAAACATCTACACACACATTCACACACACTCATACACTACGGACAATTTAGCCTACCCAATTCACCTGTATCACATGTCTTTGGACTGTGGGGGAAACCGGAGCACCCGGAGGAAACCATGCGAACGCAGGGAGAACATGCAAACTCCACACAGAAACGCCAACTAAGCCGAGGCGCGAACCAGCGACCCATCGACCTTCTTGCTGTGAGGCAACAGCACTACCTACTGCACCACTGCTTCGCCCAATATCAATATTACACTATACATTTTTGATTCTGCTTGTATTTGTTTTGCCACCATCAATATTAAAAAAAAGAGGCAAACAAGAACATGCATTCAACTCACTTTATCTCATGCTACTTGTGGCATATTTGCTGTCTAAACACTTCACTATACATAGTTTAAATTTGCCATAACCTATACAATTATAAATACATCACAGTTTTAGCTTGGGACTGTAGAAAAACAGAACATATTTTATTAATCTGAACAGTACTGCATGAAACTGTTATGAAAGCTCTATCATTCAACTTTAGTATAACAAAAAACAGCAGCACTCTTACACTTCTTACAATTTATTAATCCAAAGAACAATTCATTTGAAAGCCTGTATCTTGTTACATAAATAAATACAATCATAAATCTGAAATAAACACCTAGGTTGAACACTGCAGGAAGCAATTGTAACATAACATCACTCAAGCCTCTTTAACGAAACATCCATGAGATATAATGACTGACACAAGTGTGTTAACATAAGACATATTTCAAACACAGATTCTTCTGACTGTATCGTATGTGAAATAACTTTGCATCATTTTTGGTTTTAAGCATGTGCAGTTTTAAGTACAAGTCTGTATTTGTGGATATCAGACTTTTTGAATTGCATTTGTGAACTTATTTTTAACACACTACACATCCATCAGTGATGGAAATAAATACCAGATAGAAGGAAGATGTTCTCTCACAAAACATTGTTCCCTTAAAGGACAATTTTAATTAGCTTGCAAAACCACTGAATTTAAGTTTTTCAGCCAAAACCATAATTTCCATCACCAGAAATAAGAGAATGCAAAAAGAATCCATTAGTTAATGTATTTCAAAAATGAACAATATATTTATTTCAGTATTTATTCATCTTTGTTAATATTATTTGATCACAATA